TTGAGGAATTCTTGCCATCAGAACTACTACTTCCTATCTGCTACTGTAGCTAGGTCCACCCTCACTGAAAGCCCCAAACCTGCAATGATAATCAACATGTTGAAAATGCAAAACTAAAACAGAAGTTTATAAAAGATCATCTGTAGTTGGTAAGCCAGGCAAAAGTATGCCTGCCATTAAACTCAATGGAAAACAGCAACTGCTTCTTGGCAACCAAAACTACTTTCATGCCAACTAATCTGTTATCAGTTTGATGTTGGAAAGTAAGAAGTCATATAAGGAGTATATAAGACTGAGAACCTTGCAAATCACAGACGTGCAAGAGGCTGCTGAAGCCTTGGTATGACTAGGCTGCTCATGTGAGTGGATATGTTATCCTTCTTACCCAACTGACATGTTGATCAACCCAAGTATGGTCTTGCAAGTGTCACTACTTCACTCCCAGTGCTGAATGTATTTGATAAACACCTGCAAAATGCTGCCTAACAATTTTTTCCTTAAAATAGACTTGCTTTGAGGGAGAACCACATCACTGCCTAGTCCTAAACATGCAAAGAGAATGACCACCCCTCAAGTTATTTTTTCATCTCACCTACCTGCTACTTTCACAGCTTCTAATACTGCCCCTGAGATACCTTAACCAACCCTTGGGCTGTATGACTGCCAGCTTGTGGTCTAGTGCACAGCCACAGAGCTACAATCTGACTGGATGAAATCAGGACAGACATGTACTTCACATATTTTATTACAAAGACTTCTATTGGATGCTTTAATTTACAACAGTATCTGACCATGTAGTGAAGAATATACAGCTGAAAACAGTAAGCAGCAGGTAAGCCTTGAGAGTCAGAAACTGCACAGTAGTCATGAGAGTCAACTGTAAAAAAAAGAATACCAAGGCAGTGCAAAACAGCCTATCATTGGACTAAATTTCTTAGGCTGTTTGCAACAGAAATATGCACTTTGCACTGTACCATTTTCATGTTTGTACAGAGACATTAAGTGGAAAGGGCAGAAGAGAACCAGAATTCTCAAGCCCATTTGGCTCATAAGGCACACAGTTTTCCTCTTCCAGCTTCTTGAGATCCCTCTAATAGTTCACCCAGTCTTCAAGAATAACAGACAAGAGTGAAATGTAAGAAAGTCCCACAAAAGTGAAAAAAAATGCACTGACAAAAAACCAAGAGCCAAAGCACTTTTACGAGTTTAGAAAACAAAATATTTCTCAATTATTGCTACCAAATCCAGGACACTACAGACAGTTTAGCACGCTACATGCTTCAAGATGTAGTAGTCTGCATAAGAAAACCTCTGTCACAAAAAATGCATAGTAATGTTCTAAGAGTATTCTCATCTGGGAAATTTGGGACTGCAGAAGCCGTTTTCTGTCCATTAAAATTGAGAAAAAATTGCCAAGTGTGTATCTTGGCAAGAATACAGTTAAAATCCTGAAAACATGCAGAAGCTATTTAGCACTCCATAATTAGCTATCTGCCACCTTAGATTAAAAGACCCTTGCAGGAACAAATATGTTTTTGTGCATTAGACGCATGTGACTATCAAACTTTATAAACTTAAACATACATTTAAGTATTTTTCTTCTATGAGTAGTGGTACTTTCATGGATTGAAAGGCATTAATAACAACATGTTATGCCAATTTACTGAGACATAATCAGGCAAAACGGGATATTTATTTACTCTAGAGACGTAAACTTTATTAATCACTGAAGGTTCTAAACTGTTTAGAACATTATGTACAGTTCACACAGAAAACCTTCAAATTAACAAAGGTGGAAGAAAATTAAGAGCTGTTAAAACCACTCCAAGGCTTATTTTTAAACAGGTGACCAATTAGTTAATGTAAGAGCTGGTAGCTGAACTGATGCATATCAGCAGAGATATATACAAACCAGTAGCACAGCCACTTAAAAATAGCATTCTAATTCAGCTTCTGAGGCTCTGCTAATGTCCTAATTTGTATTGCCTACGTGCTAACCTTTGTTTATTTTTATTTTTAGTTAAACTGAACATTCTTTCTGCTGATTTACAAGTGTTTACGGACAGAGAGATCCTCATTTTGTTTCTGTTTTGCCTTTCCAATAAAACCTTTATCTACTCTTAAAAATGCCACTCCAAGGTTTAATTCCAATATGAAACAACTTAGATGCACAGCTGAGATTTAAATGACTGGGCTTGAATCTGATCTAGAAGGCAAGAGGTATTTAGGAAGATGAGAGGACAAATAATGCAAAATATGCTTGGATTCCCCTTTCATCTTGCTGAGATCCTGAAACAGGATAAATACAACATGAGAAGTTTTATTGTGAAAACCTTCTTCTGCAAGGTTTTCACTACCAGATCAAGAGGCATGGGACTACTACGAAATACTCTTCACTACACGGGAAGTTAATGGCCTCCAGCCTTCTCTTCATGTGGTTCTGAAGGATTAACTAGAAGAACACAGGCAGTTCTGATACAAAGTTAGAACACACGTTGCAGGCCAGATGAAAGATCTCCCATCCAAAAAGAACTTGCTGGCAACCAAGCAGTTCAACTAACACTTGGGACGTTCTAGGTTACTCTGGTACAAACAAGGAACAAAATGTAATGCAATTTAAAATGGGTGAGATGAAGACACTGGTTTAGCTGGTGGTTTAGCTTCAATTTGTTAAATGCAACTGGTACAAGTCAGTTGAAATACAAACCACACAGGTCTAGCTTGCACTTTATAACTTAAGAAGTCAGTAACAGAATCTCGCATTTAAATGTCAAACCTTTAGGGCTTTTTGCTACATTGAAAGAGTAACAAAATAATCTTGTTCTATTTAGAGTAACTACATAAAATATCTTTGGTGGCTTCACTGATGCAAAAACAGTGTCTCTAAAATAACACTTAACACCACTCAGTGTTCCAGAAATGCAACAGCAGAAACTGCATGCTTACTCCAAAGAATAAATGAACAAAAGCTACATGTGAGGTATAAGCTGAAAATACAGCCCTCAGACTCTGCTACTCCGTCTGTACTTAGCATGCTGGGTCTGTATACAATTTCTTGTATACTTTAAATAACATTCCATTAGGCTTTCCACGGTGGTTTTTCTTTTAGGTCTTTGCAAGGGCACACTGTTATCAAAGCTGTGATTTAACATGGTTGCCTAACTCTTCTATCAGAGTAGGTCAAACCATCCACTATGGAGCTGAAATAATTTCTTGGCTCTAGAACTGCAAGTATATATTCCCACTACAAGATGATGCACTTACACAAATTTCATCATGTGTGGTCATGAAAAACATAAGAAAAACTAATTTACTCAGTCCAAGCCATACTGTATTTTAAATGTTTTCTCATTGTGTGTGTGGTTAATATTTCATTTTACTTTTTTTTTCACTTTCGGAGTTTCCATGTCCACCTCAAATCCAAATACTTTTTACTTCTGCACCAATGGTCTTTACTAGCTGTACTACACAATTACAAACAGATATGGTTTCACTACCAGTAAAAGTGTTCTCTGCTGATTCTGCAACAGAACACTCAAAAATGCTGATGCATATTAAACAGCTATACTGGCATTAACAGCTTGCTAAGATGATGAAGATGATTTAAAAAGAGAGCTCCTATACAGAAACATTCTAGCATCAATGGATTATTTTCTCTACCACAGAAGGATTCATTTCCTGAAGGCTTAGTTTGTGGCTAAGGTGCCATTATTTTCTGTGACAGCTCCTACACCTATAAAAGTTCCTGCTACTAAGAAATCATTGTCTTACACTTAACCATAATTAATTTTATTTTTAGTAACATTACCCATTCATTAAATATAACCTAGTCTCCTTCCGTTTCCTAACTACACCAAATATCTTTTGCTTTTTGCACCCAATATCGAACTATAATTAACCAACCCCTAGCTGAGATAAAGAAGTCTTTGAAATTGTGCTGTGACTGGAATAAGTTGCGTAACTATAAGGAGCACAAGGCATCTTGCATTTTGTCAGTCTTCATTAAATATCAACACTGATCAAGAGACAGCAAAAAAATTGAAAACAATTATTAATCAAAAAAAGGACAAACGTAGAAAGATAGCGTCATAATCACCTTTCTCTTACCATTAAAAACAAAACAAAACAAATCCATTTCAGCTCTCCACAGCTGTTGAATAAATAAATGCAAAGAGATAAACACGCCTGGAAGGGTTACTAGTTTTCTTTTTTTTATTTGAATAGATATCTTCACACCCATTTAACTAAAACACAGGATCCCAAACTTTCTCGGCTATCAAATCACTGCCAAAACTCAGACTTGCTGGCCAGTAGTACCCAGTGGATTCGACTACTACTACTCGAAATCACTAGGTGTGATTTTCCCCGTGCCTTCTTGCCCCCACTATTCCCTACCGACCCCCAAAGCACACACGTATCCGGGCAGTCCCGCAGCTCTCCCGCCGGCCGGGCAGGAACCAGCACGCTGCTCGCAGCCCTAGGGCGAGGCAGGTACGGTAAGGGAAGGCCGGGCGGCGGAGGCGGCCGAGCCAGGGCGCGGTCCCGTACACTGCTCAAGTGGCGTAGTCAGAGGCCGCACCGCAGCCCGGCAGGCGCGGAGAGCTCACCGATGCGGCACGGCAAGCACAGCCAGCGGACCGAAACTACCGTAGGCAGCAGCTACACCGGACCCACTCCTCCCGCCTTCCCTCACCCCCGGCAAGGCCCGTCGCGAGGTCGCGGCCGCAGCGCGCCGTGCCCGCCCTACCTGAGGCCGGGACAAACACCGGAGCCACAGCCCCGCCACCGGAGCCACAGCCCCGCCACCGGAGCCGCCACCCACCGCGCGCTCCGCCGCCGCCGCCGCACACGGCGCAAGCGCACCGCCCCGCTCACCGCCCTGCAGAGGGTGTAGGGAAGGAGGTGGGCGGTGCGGCCGGCTCAGAGGCATGCCGGGAGCTGTAGTCCCGGGGAGTCCGCCCGGTGGCGGGGGGGGTGTTCGGAGCCGTTGCCCCGGCCCAAGCGGCACGCTCGGGCGGTATCGCGCACTACCCTCCTGGTTGCCCCTCGGGACTGGAAGAGCCCTCTTGGCACCGTGGGGCTTGTCTGTGGGTGCCGCGGGAGCGCTGACTTTCCCTGCGTCCATGAGTCTCCGGGTCCGCGGGAGAGTCTGATGGCGTCGCCTGGCAGCGGCCACCGTCATCCTCCGGGAGCGGTGAGGCCACGGGGCGGGAGGTGCTCGGACAAGGAGATCAAAGGCTACCCCCGGCTGGAGCGGCCCGCGCTCCCCCGGGAGCGGCCGGGCTGGCGGCGGCGGCGGGGCCGCTCCGCTCCTGCGGGCCGGCCGCGGGTCCCGGGCAGGCGCCCCCGGGCGCGGGCTGAGGCTGGGCAAGGAGCGTCCCGCTGTGTCCGCTCTCGGCTGCTGCCTCTGCTGCGCCTCGATGGGAAGGCGGCTGCAAAATAAGGCAGTTTGTTAATTCCAGAAGAGCTGGAATGAAACGGTGACAAAATTGTCTCAGCAGTATCGTGGAGGGATCCTGTGCTGTCACTGTATCCTGTGGCTGGGATATGCCAAACAGGAGAGAATGGGAACCCTGTAGAGATCTTCTCTTGCTTGGGTCTTGGTCTTATAATTAAGATCTTGTGCTTCGCAGAGCTACTACTGGGTAAATGCAATTTGAAAAACAAAAGTATCTCAAACTGCATATATATACCGCATATAAACAAATGGAGTTAGCAGAGCACATCTACCGTATGACTGCGGTGCTTCTTGATACTGAGTCTCCCTCGAGTGGACGATTCTGTGCTGCCCATTTTACACACCTTGGTGGGGAAAGAACTGCTCTTCCTAGTGGTGCTTGATCTCGCTGTGACGGGAAGGTATCACCATGTGAGCTTGGCAGCTCTGCGTGGCTTCCTGTAGTCAGACCAGGGCATTGGTAGTACTTGAATATACCCTCCAGACTTCCTTTTCTACCTAAATCTGCTGGACTTTTCCACATCTGGCTGTTTTATGTATGTTTGATTCCCTGAGTAAGTCCAGAAAATCTTGTGGAAACTAATACCAAATAGCCATCTATTGCACACATTTTGTAGACCCATGAGCTCAGCATCTCACTACATGGATCATCTGTTTACTAAAACTACAGGTTTTAGTTGAGGACAATGGATGAAAAAAATGATGAAAAACTCTTCAATTAAATAAATTCTCTCACAGTATGTGTATACTGTGGGACATGCACTGTGCATAGGTTGTGCCCCCTTCCCCCTCTACCTTACTATAGCTAGTCTCCCAGTAAGTTTGATTCAGTTGTTTATGTACAGATACCTCTCCTTTTGGATAAAATTTTAGGACTGATATTTTCTTAGGACATTATTTTGTAAGTTAAGGGAAAAAGGTATGCGAGAGATGGAAGGTAGGAAAGGATTGACAGTAATAAGTTCGTGTATTTGCTTTCAGAACAGTTTTGAATGTTGGGCATTTAAAAGTCCGAAGTTCTATATCTCATTGTTTAAGAAAAAATGAAAATGCTTAAGAACTCTGATCCTTAGACAAATATGTTGCTGAAATCAAGTAGTATTCAATTAACTGAATAAGTCAAAGTGCCAGTATTCTCCTTATATTATCCTTTGCCATTACAACAAAACAGAAAAGCAATAATGTATATAAGGTATCATCCTTGTGAAGTCATGGGTTGAATATAATGCATGTTTTATGTTTAGCAAACATTGAAGAAATATAGTAAATATAGGGGACCTTTCAAGTTGTTCACATATTCAGAAATTATGAAGGTTGTTTTTATCCTCCCTTAAGCATACAACTGTATTTCTGAGTCTGACAGCTCTTCTTTCAAAATGCTTATGCATATTTGTTTTGGAAAGTAATACCAGTTTTGGCCTTTTATTAAGGAAGGAGATTTCAGTTGCTGAGTTTTTAAACTGCTGAATGAGGAACAGGATATGTGATGGATCAGATCTCAAAATATTGTGGTCAGCATAAAGCATTGCTGAAGTTCTTGATTTAGCTTGATTTTTTTTCTATAAAATACATACCTTTGCTGTGTCATTAGTTTTTTGAATAATACTTCATTACTATTTTAGTTAGCTTTATTTATTTCTTAATTTTTCCTAACCATTTGTGCTATGTTCATAATTTAGGGCAATAAGTAGATTAAAAATATTCTGTTCTAAACTTGGCAGAATTTACCTTTTGAAATATTGATTGGAAAGTCTAGAGACAGCTCCAAAGAATAGAATAATCCAAGATTTCAAATCCCTTCTGCCTTTTTCAGGTACTGCATTGACTTTCAGGTGTGTGAGAAATCACTGTGGCCCACAGCAACCAGTAGGTAAGCAGCAGAAGAAAACTTTCCACCACTTTCTGATGGGATTTTTCTCAGTTTCTAAGTTGATTAATGTCCTTTGTCAATTCAAGTGTTCTGATCAAAAAGAAATGATGTTTAACACAATGAATGTCAAGAAGCCAGTGCTCACAGTATCAAACTAAAGAGTTTGTTGTGTTTTAAATGTTAAATGCTTTTTGTGTTTGTTCATTGTTCATTTGTTCATTGGCATATTTATTTCTTCCCCATTAAGAGATGGAGAAGAAGAAGAGGATATTGAAGTTAAAATACAGATTTCATGTGTGTCCTGATCTTCACTGATAGTTTTAAGAACTCATTGAGTATGCATGCAATTTTAACATAAAGAAAAAATGGTTTTATTATAGCCTCCTAGTTTGCAATAGATCAAAATGTGAACAGAATGTTAATCAGTGTAACAGTTATTAGAATCAGTTATTAGGTTGTTCAGTGGCCACCCTCCATTAAATCATTGACTTAAAATTGGTTTGCACTGATAATACCTGATAACTGTTATTTTAATCTTTGTTCCAGGAAAAAAAAAGTCATACCTGCAATATGGCACCCATTTTAGACTGGAAGAAGCTCATGAAAGTTGATCCAGATACTCTGCCTCGTCAAGAGGAACTAGCCGACAGATTGCTGGATATTATATTCAAGGTGCTTGAGAAAAAGAGAGCATGGGGAATTTTATTATATCTTCTTCCCTAAACTCTCTCTGGTCCTTCACATACATGAAAGATTTATTTTGTGGATTTCATTGATATTAGTGTAAAACAACTTTTGTCTCTTTTGTTAGGTTGATGGGAAAGACTTAAAAAATGAAAGTCCAGAAAAAATGATACACCTTTTTAAAATTACTCAGTCACTACTGAAGGTTTGTATTAAGGCTTACTTTCTTCAGTTCTGCAGATGCATTTCTTTTTTGGTTTTTTTTGGCTGAAATGGAAACATAATTATTCTTTTTTCCCCCATTCCTGAAGATACTGCTTACTCCTAAGGTAATTTATATGCTAAATGTGTGCTTGCACCAGAGTACCTTCTTGTGTAGCTGTTGGAATTTAGTAGTGGAAAGTGAATTGGAATAACATATAGGTGGAAAATGCAAATACATTTCCCCAAATAAATGTTTTAAACATGATGTCTATGGAACAATCTTTTAATTTATGGTAGTAGTAAATATTTCTTCTTTGCTATGCTTCTTTTCTCAGATGAAAACTCAAGAGGTAGAACTGGCACTAGAAGAAGTTGAAAAAGCGGGGGAAGAGCAAGCCAAATGTGGTAAGCAAGCTTTTTTATGTTGTTCCTAAATGATTTGTTAAGCGTGTTTTTTAGGTTTTTGTTCTTGCTGCTTTGTGGCTTTTTTAAAGTTTAGAGAACTGGACAGAATACCAACTGCTCTGAAGTCAACTGCTTTGATGAAACCAAATATTTAAAGTCTTAGGTTAACCATTGTTGTTTTACGTGTCTTTTACCTTATTGGGTAATTCACTACGTCTATTCTATTTAACAGAAAATAATTTTAAAACCAAGCTGATGAAACTTCAAAATGAATTAGAGGTATGTTTTAAAATTTTGTTAGTGTATAAAGTGCTCTGGTGGGGTCTTCTAATTATTTAATTTTAGACTAGTATTTAGTCTTTTAAAGTAATGAAATAGCCTTACATTTTAGCAAATGCTTTTTATTGTTTTTTGAATATGCAGCAGTCTTGGGTGAATAATTACTTGATTTTTTTATATACTTGAAAAATCTCATTTATTTTAGTCTTAGTATCTGCTTTGTTTTTGGTTTTTTTTTAGTTTTTTCTACTTTAAATATCTACTATATTTATAATGTTATCTTTATGTTCATAAGATGGCACAAAAATCTGCTGGTGGTCGTGATACTCGTTTTTTGCGTGATGAGATCCGCCAACTGGAAAAACAATTGGAGCAAAAAGAGAGACAGTTAACAGATACAGAAAGAGAGCTGGAAAAGGAGAAGAAAGTGAATGAACAGGTAAGAGGGGCTTGAGCTTGACATCCCTAGAAGCTGTTCTGTCAAATATTTTGAAAAATTGATGTTCTGAAAAAAAAATCTGAATCTGAAATTAAAAAAAAATAAAAATTAAATAAAAATAAATTTATATGATATATAAATATATACTATATAATATTATTGTATATAAAATATTAATAAATAATATTATATATATATAAAAATTAATAAAAAACTGATGAAATAGGATTGCTCTGCAGTTGTTCTCTTTTTTTGTTTCTGGAGTTCTTTGTGGTGTCAGTGATGTATATAAATGTTTTCTGTCTTGTAGCTTGGTCTTCGAATTGAAGATGCTGAAAATGAAAACATCAGATTCAGGAGAGAGGTTAGCAAAAATTATTGCTGATTTATTATGTTTTCAGCTTTTTTTATAAATGCATTACTATATTTCTGTATTTACAATTTTTGGTGTGATTTTTAATTTTGGATTATTTCCTATTTACTAGTGCAAAGTAAATATGTAGTATATCTGCTCCAATAAAATGTAATTAATTGAGGTTATGAAGTCTTTATATTTCAATTTTAATAGTCCTACTATGCATTAGCTTGGCCTGGGTTTTTTGTTTTGAATTTTTGCTATTTTTCTTAAATATTGCCAAGTAGATTTGTTTAATTATTGTTCTGGGGTAAAACCTTGATAATCATTTGTCAAAATACCCTTCTACATATATGTGTATGTATGTATATACATGCAGAGGTATAATGAAAGCTACTTAATTTTGTCTCTATATTGATTAATATTTAGTCTTCCAAATGCAAAGCTAATTTCTAACATTTTTCATGCTTTGTTCTCTTGGTCTTGTTTCCTCCTTTTTAATATGAAGAAAAAGCACATAAAGAAAAAGGTGAGGCTTCTAAGACTTTTAAAAACAGACTGTAGGAATTTGATGGGTTTTACATGTCTTAGCTCTTTGTGTTAGCTCGCTAGAAGTGCAACAACTTCGTCTTCAACTCTAAGAAGTGGATTTAAGTTTGGATTGCTTTTTGTGCAGAATGAACAATTGCGTCAGGATGTGGTTGACTATCAGAGGCAAATAGATTCTCAAAAGGAAGCAATTCAATCACGAAGAGGAGAGGTTTCTGACTACACATCACAGCTGTCCAAAAGAAGCTCTGAGCTTGTCCAGTATTTGGATGAAATTCAGGTAAAAATCTATGCATTCTATTGAGTAGCTATGGGAGCTTTACTGACCGTAGTGTCTTTCATGACACTATGTCAATTTACAGATAAAGTCATGTGGAGTAAGAGAATTCATAGTATGGTAGGGTTCTGTCATACATACAGTCTGTATCTATGAGTTTGGCAGAGGTAATGAAGTTGCTGAGAGGGAGAGAGATACGTCTTATTTACTGTTTGGATTTATTGAAATTGATAACCTAGAGGGGAAATACTCCATTCTGTGCTAATTTTGTGTAAGACTTTCAAGACTTTCTTATTCAGTTATTAAGATGGGCACTTTCTAAAATGAGTGTTTTCTTTATTTTTGCAGAATTTGACTGAAGCTAATGAGAAGCTGGAGATTCAAAACCAAGAAATGAGGAAAAACCTTGAGGAATCAGTGCAAGAAATGGAGAAGATGACTGACGAATATAGCAAAATGAAACTGATTGTGCAACAGTCTGATATTATTATGGATGAGTTAAGAAAAGAGAAAGATCGGTACAAATTTCAAGTAAGAAATGAATCATAATTTAGTATAAATATTTTTTAGGTTTCTAGTCTGTTTTCATATTTTAGCTTAAGTTAAAACTTTCTATCTATGCGGTTAAAACCACACACTCCTCTAAAGTAATGCTTTTAAAAAATAGTGTGATCTTTGAATGTGGTACAGATCTTAAAATTTGACTGTCGATCACAAAAAATTTTGTATAGAATGATAGTCATGCATAGTTCTCAGAAGTCATTCCCTTGCTGTTGTAATACTAATCTGTTAAATATTATGTACTTGATATAGTGTATTTGTACATAGGCCCAAACCTTTTTTGTAATGTGATGTTCATTCAAATGGCATGTCTAGGTTCAGGATCTTTCAGACCAGCTGAAAGCAAAGAATGAGGAAGATGATCCACTCATGGCAGCTGTAAATGCAAAAGTTGAAGAATGGAAGGTATTTTTTAGTGCTTTTAAAATCCTTTTTAGGAATTATTCAAGTGTTCTGATGGTATTTTATCTTCTTTTCAGAAAATCTTAGCTTCAAAAGATGATGAACTCCTAGAGTATCAGCAAATGTTACTTACCATGGAAGAGAAAATGAAAATGGTCCAACTTGATGTAGACAGAAACAGTATACTGTCCCTTCAGCAGGTACAGTTCATGTGAGATGTTCCACACATTGAAATCACCATTAATTAAATATCTTATTGACCAAATATAAATTTATTCTTTCATAGCTTGCAAATATGAAGTACTTAATTTTGAGAATTATGAGACAGATCGATTCATTACATTGCAAAGTTAGTTTAATAGACAATGTACAAAGGAAACTTCTCTGTATGTATGTCCTGAACTCTTGGAAGCTGCTCTGTTATTTCCATATTTATCTTTTCTAACTATTATGTAGTGTTTCTAAAATACAGTTTAGTTTCTGTCCACTAAGTTTGTTAAGAAACAGTCTTACCTAGTACTTAATTTTCTGTGTTTTGTCTCATCTGGTTAACTCTGTGGTTCATTGTATGATAGAGCTGGCTGAATTTGCATATCTCTCATATTCATGCAAAATTACATAGTTCTTGATGGTTTTGAATGTCTCTACTTTCTTAAAAAACATAACCTCCTCCTCGTCTCCCCAAAATAATGTGATCCATTAGGAATCCTGAAATAGTCTGTATGGAGAGCATACTCTGATTCTAGGATGATTTCCTGCCTTGCTTCAAGTTTTTTAAGTAAATATGTAATGACATTTATGTCACATTTTGGGTTCTTTTAAACTGAGCAGTATGGTCAGATACTGTTATGCAGTCTTCCAAACTAAGTACAGATAGATTCTCGAGAGAAAAACACCCTAAATTACGAATCAGCCTTAGCTATCAGAAGAGGAAAGCAGCTGAAAGTATCTTTGATAAGCAGTTGTTTGGTTTCAGCTGATTAGATGGCTGTAGAGGTTGCTTTTTTGAGGAGTTGTGGGAGTGAGGGGACATTATTAGCATGGCATTAGCATTGAAATGTTTTGTGGAAATAAGCATGCATTTTAAGCAATAAATCAAGTTACTGCTGAGGTTTTTACTCAAAATGAACTCGGCTTGCTATCCTTCGATGTATGTTTATATTCTAAAGGGTTATATCTAGTTTTTTACTGGTTTGCTAAGCTCTGTATTTTCAGGTTTCAAATGTGGTTATATTTGTAAGAAAGCCTGAAAGTTGTTTTTCGAAACATTGAGATTTTTACATTATTATTATTATTTTACATTTTATTATTATTAATGCCTGTAACTTTTTTTAAGTGTCTTTTTTATTTTTTACCACTTTTTTATTCATCACAGAAAAAATTACGCAAAGCTTTCTATGTTGTTTCCAAAGTTCATGTACAGGTACAGAAATAGGATAGTATACATAGAAGTCACTTCCAGTCTGTGTGTACCTATGAAAGTATATGTATCCAAAACAAGATACAAATTTTTAGAAGTTAGATGGCTTGGTGAAGGGCTGTCTGCATTTCACGTGTCATGTATGATGGACTGTTAGTCCTTGCAATCTTGAGCTTCTGTCTCTCAGTTCCCAATGGCAATTGTTCATGAGGAAGCTGCAAGAAACCTGTATCATCTGATACTTTTCAACTAATACTGGCAAACTCTGAGAGTACTGTTTCCATTTAAAATCATTATACTAAAATGCTGCCTATTTTTCTGTGTTTGAGTGCTTTATTTTTACTTTCTTTTTTATTTTTCCTGCTTTGCATTTATATACCGAACTTCTAGATAATATCTGAACTCTCTTTTGTAAGTATAGTATGTTTAATGTTCTATAAAATGTTTTGTATTAGCTACATGTAATTTCTTCACTTCCCATGTAGTATTCTGTATTGGTAGTTTGCCTGTCAGTAAAGAAGGATCCTTTAATGGAGTTTCTTTTGTATGTATAGGGTGTGCAAGAGCGAGATGCTCAGATAAGATTGCTCACTGAGCAAGTTGAACAGTATACGAAAGAAATGGAGAAAAATGCATTCATTATTGAGAAATTAAAATATGATCTCCAAAAAGATGAAGGTAACGTGACTATTTTGTGTTAATGTCAAAATCAGGAAAATCAGAAACCACAAATTTAGTGTGCATTCTTTCTTTTTTTAGAAATACAGGGAAAAAATATTGCAGTATTTGAGTAATTTTAGTCTCTAATAATTTTTCTTAATTTTCTTTTATTAAGCATTCATGAAGAGTTCAAATTTATCCAATTACCTCAGTGGGTTGTATGGGTAATAAAACTACACCTGATCTGTAAAAGTTAGAGCATAACACATAAGGTCTCAGCTCCATCAAGAATTGAAAAGGAGGAATAGTATGCAGTTCTAAATAAATTCTGATGTCCCTTCTGTGCACTCAGTTATGATAAATATTTTTTGAAGGAAATGTTGGGGGGAAGAAAACCCAACCTCTTATATGTAGTGTCTTGTAATTTCCTAATTAAAAAGAGCAGGAAATTAAAATCTCCTTTATAATGTTTTCTGAAGTGTTTCTGTCTTGATTAATGGCAGATAGCAAGAATTCCTAGTTGAATTGGAAACATCAAGGTTTTTCTTTTCAGGTCACTCATCTCTTGCTCAGCAGAACCAAATTGGGGATATACAAGAAAAGTTAAAAATGCTAGAAGAGAGAACTACAGAGGCTGAGAAATCAGCAGAATTGGCAGAAGCACATGCTAGAGAAAAAGACAAAGAACTTGTTGAAACTTTGAAAAGAATGAGAGACTATGAGCTGGTAAGCAGTTTGTCACAGTGGAGAGGGTATTAATCATATTTTTAGGAAAGTGTTTTGTCCTCCTGTATTTAATTGTTCTAATTAAAAATTAAAAATTAAAAATTTAATTTTTTTAATTTAATTACTTTGATGCTCTTCCTGCTTCCCTTCCCTATTGAACAGTAATTGAACGCTCAAGATATGATTCTTCAAAGGATCATGTAGTTGGAGGACTCACTTTTGAAATATTCAGGCCCCTCTGTAGTCAAGGACAGATTTATAGCATCTGCTTTTTATTCAATAACTTTTTTTCATAAGCATAGTGCAGAAGAGTGACAGAGGTTGAAAACATTTTTTCGTGTCTGTGTAATGATGAAAGAAAGATTCATGATCTATTTTAGTAAGTCTTCTATAGGTTGTTTTGTTCTTACTTCCTGTGTGGCATTTTTACAGGGAATATATGGTTTGGAAGAAGCTGTTGCTGAAATCAAAGATTTAAGAAAGCAAGTCAAAATACGAGAACATGAGATTGAGTCATTAATTAAGGAAGTCAATAAACTTGAACTTAAAATAAATGACTTCCTTGATGAAAATGAAGAACTCAGAGAGCGCTTAGGTATGCTGTATCCAGTACATGTTCAATTATTTGTTGTGTAAAAATTGAAATAGGATTCTATAGGGGAATTTTTTTACTATATCAAGTCATTGAAAATACTTATTTTATATTATATTATATAATATTCTATATTATAGAAAAGTTATATTCTGCTAGTATTTCCAAGTAGTTTTTATTAATTTGGACAAAATGTATGAATGAACTTGTCTTACAGGTTCCTTTGACTGACAAAAGTAGGAGAATAGGTTCTCTACTCCTTTTTGGTTTTGATTCCTCTTTGATCACACACTGCCTAATAAACTTCATAATGGGCTGTTTGGAAACCACAGCATCCTGAAGTTGTAATGCTAGATGAAACACACAGAGAAAACTTCAGATAGGCTTATTTTTAAATAGAAGAATTTAAACATAAATAAAGTTAATTTTAGGCGCCACTTATTGCATTTTGGGTTTTGAGTAACTAAGGTAAAAGTAAGCTTTCTTTTGCTCTTAATACATGGAGTATAAGATGTGTGTTTATGTTATATAGATAGTTATATAGAGATAGTTGAATCATATTCAACTATCAATGAAGTTTTTTTTTTTAACTCTACTTCTCTAGATATGTTCTTACATACATTAACTGCATTAACTAACATTAATGTTCCTCCTTAAAGAATAACTGTGATATACTTCCTTTTAGGTCTTGAGCCAAAGACAATGATTGATTTAAATGAATTCAGAAACAGCAAAGCACTGAAGCAGCAGCAATATAGAGCTGAAAACCAGATTCTTTTGCAAGAGGTAAGTGATAAAGCCTATTTTTGTGTAAGAGCTACGTAACAAAAATGCATTTGAACAAAATGGAAATCTGATCTGTGAGTAATAACATGCAGATTGAAAGACTAGAAGAGGAAAGAATTGAACTGAAAAAACACATTCGTAAGTTGGCTCAGGAGAAAGGAGGAAGAGTTGCAACAATAGGTAGGATGTTTCTAAAATACATTATTCTTTAAAAAACTTCCTGTTTATACGTAAGCATAAACATTCTGTTTATAGTTAATATAGCTATGTTATAGTTAATAATTTGTTTAAATTAAAAGGCTAAATGCATTTTCATAAATCACAGTCTGTAGGAAAAGGTGAGTGGTTTTGGATTTCCTGATCTTACAGCCCAGTATCTTCTTGAGTTGTTATGACCTGTATTGCATCACCAAGCCTTCTGTCATTGCCTGGCAATAGGTGCAGGATGATCTAAGTTTCCAGTAAATCTATTTAATTCATGGTTTGAAATTCTTAAAATTTCAATTCCATGCCACTCGGGGTACCATAATGCTCTGATGGAAAGGTAGAAAAGTAGAACTCAGATATAATAAATGGGGTGTATTCTTTTGGTTGGAGACCAGTTACAATTTCCTGATAGTTTATTACTTGTACATCTACTTGCACTTAGGATTGGACCCTGATAATATGCAACTGACTGACAGCTTTACTGAAGAAAAGGGAAAGAATACCAGGAAGTTGGATTTCTTGAGCAGACATAATATTGCTGAAGTAGAAGCAAAGGTAGGTTCATAAAGCAAGTTTATGAACATTTCTTGTATTTCTCTTTCATAAATTAAAGCCACCTATTTTGTAAATATTTGTTAAAATACTTATCTAGGAGCATTTTTTAACTGATTTCAAAAAATCCCAAAATGAATACTCTGTAATATTTTTTAGAAGACAAGTGAATATTTTATATTTTTGTAAATATATCCTAGCAAGTCATATAATCTGGAATACAGAAATACACTTATAGATAGAATAGCACTAGCTGAAATTCTGAAGGCAGAGAAAATTCTGTAAAAAGTAGAGAAAAGAGTACAGCTGAAGAGAGAAAGGATGTGGGAAATCTATTTGGAAGAACCTCTGGCATACATGAGAATTCAAATTACTTGGGAAAAAACCAAAAATACTTTTTTGGTTCATTTAGGTTCTAAGCCTATTTATTAGAGTGGCAACTAGTTAAACACAAGGGTAATTTCGAAATTCTTGGTGTTTTCATATCACTAGAGCTACAACTTACAAAGCCTTCCAGACTTCTAGTTTGTACCAGACCACTATTCCTGCTGCTGTATGATCCAAGAGTATATATTTCTCCATGGACAGTGTTATATGGGATATACCTGATGTAACTATTCCTGTGAATCTATTTCTGTTCCTATTTAGGCAAGAAATCAATATGTGGACAGGGAATTTTTCGTGAATGCATATTTCAAATTTGAAAAAGTCTGGGTCTAAAATATTAAACTGCTAAAATTAGGTTCTGCATGTTTTTTGTCTAGAAAAAACTTTGTCTTTTTCTTTAGAATGAATATCTTGCAACTGAATTACGTGAGAGAGAGAGAGATTTGGAGAAGAACAGGACTGTAATAGCCAAATTTCAATCTAAATGTAAGTTGCAGCCTGTTTTAAAACTAGGGAATATTATCAGATACCTGTAGATAGTTTGCTTATTTAGTTGTTCTGTTTCTATAATTGTGATCATAAATAACTTGACTTGTAAAAAAAATCTTGTGTATATCTTTGTGTATATGTGTAAATATACATCTATAGTGTTACCAAACCAGTGAATGTACATGAAGCATAGTTTATTCACTAAAAACATTGCAACATTATCTCTCATGTTTTTCCTTCTTGATTCAGACACAGTAAAGGCTTTAAGTGTGTGAGTAATTCCACTTGTAACAATTATACATCTTGTGTTATTGTCGGGCTTTTCTGGCTCAAAGGAAGTGTTGGGGAGTTAGAGCTACTTGCTGCTTGCATATGTATCTATCTTAACTGAAGTGCACTGCTTGAAAACTCAGAAATAAATATAATTTTAATTTCTTCGGACAAGAAGCTTAATTTTTTTCCCCCCAGAGAATCACAATTCTTAAAATTCTTTTTGAATTGTCAAAATAGACTTGAAACCACTTGAAACTTGAAACTACTCAAGTTTTTGCTCTTCACTCCTGGCTGTTCAGGATGATTAGCCATATTGTTTGAATGCAGAGAATGTGCTGATAGGTTTATTGCCTTTTTTTTTTTTAGTTTTCAGACTTCTTGTTTTGTGCTGGAAATTGGAATTTCTTTGAGAAGCTACAGGTAGTAGGAGTCTTGAGAGTCCTTGACAGCCACATAATTTAAATGCTCCTTTCTTTTCATTCTGCAGAAGGAATTTAGGCAATTCCTAAATACTTCATTGTTACACCCAGTCATTTCCATCACAGCCATGTTTCTGAACTGGTAAAAGTCAGACAGACTACTAAAGAAGTTTAAAGTGAGGTAAACATTGAAGACTGGAAGGTTCAATGAAGTCAATTGTGTTCCCATGAAACATTTAATTATCTTTTCTTGATATTTCATCAGAAAAATACACTTCTCAGATATTCCTAGTAGCTCTTGATTTTAATTTCATGATTGATTATGCCTATGTATGTATAATATGAACATTCTTTTAATTTATCAAATCAACAGTTATCATGATGAAATGTCCTAGGAAACCTTAAATCATTTTTCCAGTGCTTTTTAACAGACTTACAACTTTTATTACAGTAAAAGAGTTATCAGAAGAGAATAAACAACTTCAACAAGGAATGAAAGAAATATTGCAAGCCATCAAGGAAATGCAAAATGATTCTAGCATGAAGGGAGGAGAAACAGCCTTAATAATCCCTAGTCTGGAACGCTTAGTTCATGTAAGCCTGCTTTCTAAATTATTATTTAGCTTTATAGGATTTACAGGGTTAAAATGTCATGCTTTTTGCTAATTTCATGTAGTCTAAACTTGAGGGCTCAAATTTACTCTAAAAAAAATTAAAATTAAGATTAATTAAAGTTTTCCACACTTTTTATTTGTTATGTTAATTAACTGTTTACTGCATTAGGCAATGGAGTCAAAGAATTCAGACGGGATCTTTGATGCTAGCGTGCACTTGAAAGCCCAGGTTGACCAGCTTACAGGACGAAATGAAGAATTGAGACAGGAGCTAAAAGACACTCAGAAGGAGGCAACAAGTTTGTCTAATCAGCTGGCAAGTGCCAATGAAAAGGTATATAATTTATTTTATATAATTTATTTCCTACTTCAAAAGCAGCTATTCTGATAATTTAGAACGATCCACACAAACTATAAGACACTGAATTTAGCTTATGTGAATAGTGTCATTGTACAAATCTCACTGAAATTTATGTAATGGACCTACTCATTTGTTCTTTTTAACTTCAGATCTTATTCTTCTTGATGTTGCTTAATCCTTGCAATATTCCATCATGTTAAACACCGAGCGTGCCTATCTTCTGGGTAGAGCTGTGTCCAAAAAACTCACAGATCTTTTTCCTAAAAAAGCCAGGAGTCTTACATTTTTTATTTATAAATATGTAACAGAAATTAAGTGTTTGAAATTATGAGTCCTATATCTTGTTTTAAGTTGTAAAATACATTCTGTGGAATGGTTCTTCCAGGGAAGGAATGAGGAATGAAATATTACCTTGGCTTATATATAAAGCCAAGTTTAAATTTACCTTTTATGACAGCTTTGGTGGTGCAAAAAGATTTGGCAGAAACTAATCCTCTAAAATAATGTTTTACATACTGTTAGAGAAACCAGAGAGCTTTTAAGTTAAATGAAAAGGCAAAGATTTGTCTAGAAAAACCTGTCTAATAACCACTGCAATAATTCTTTCCAAAACTTAATCTTACTAGAGTAGGAATGCACAGGGTTTTAAAACTGTGATGATATGTGTAGTTGCCTTGATTACTGGGGTAATTTGATAAATTTGGATGAATTTATTATGCATGTATTGATTTATGAAATCATAGCATTTTTAAAAGGTAATTTTAAGGAGTATTAGAATGTTTTAGACTATAAGGGAAAATTAATTAGGTTATTAATAAGGAGTGATGTAGCAATATATTTTTCATCATTTTTTTTTAATCTAATAGCAAGAGCTACTTCATTATGATAGTTTTGTGTCTTGTCTTTAGATTGAACAAATGAAAAATGAAATTTGCTTACTACATCAGTCAGAAGGTGCCAATATTGTCTTCCAAACAGTGAATCTTCCAGAAGGAATGGCTCCTTCAAGTGTTAATACAATTAATTCTCTGAATGAGTATTTAATACATCTTACACAGGTAACTAATACATTCCTTGAAATAAAGAATATTTGTTACATGTATCTAATTCCTCTAAAATCCAGTAGTTTGCCATGTATGGACATGAGAGATCTCTCCAAAATTATTTTGGTGTTCTAACATCTACTAAACTCTTTGGGTTATTCTGTAATTTAAAGCTGTAAGTATTTTGCTGTGCTGTAAGCCTGAAAGGTAATAGCTAACTAAGTTTTGGACAGTAATTCAGATTTTTTTGTTTTAAATCTGAGTTTTGATCTAAATATTTGCCCACTCTTCCTTCTACTTCCACAGTTGCACTCTTTCTATGAGAAATTCTCTCTTACTGCTGTCTGGATTCCACACTTCAGTCTGCATCAGTGTGCAAATCCTACTTGAACAGTTTTTTCCTATAGAGCCAAGGTCTCTAATAATTTACTATATTAATTTTCATTCCATTATTTGTCAAAAATACATCAAAAATTGTAAATACAGGCATAAATACATTGAAACAGATCCCAGTGATTCCCATGGGAAGCATAGCCAACAGGCATATAGTAAAGAAGAACTATTTGAGAATTGGAGTAAAAAAAAAGTTACCTTTTTCTTAATAATATTTTTCTGTCTTTGATAATTTTTTTTTCATCAGAGAATATTTTCTCAACTCTGTATGCTTATAAAGCAGAAGAGTATTTGAGAAAATGAGAAGAAAATGACACTTGCCAGTTAAACATTCAGTTAGTATTCTTTGTGGGCTAGCTACAGGTCATAGTGTTTTGAACTTTGAGGACTGTAACTGCCGTACAATTGTTTTCTATTTCACACTAATTAATGTGATGCTGAAGCTCATTGGATATTTTTCATCTGTTGCTTCTAAAGAAAATGCATATTTCATATTTGTAGTTCACACAATTCATGGCAGAAGCATCTATCATGAAAACACAAAATATTTTTGATTAAATTGCTAGATTCATGTTTAAAACCTACATTAATAATTTCTATATTTTTATTTGGAAAACAATAATTAGGAACTGGAGAACAAAGAAAAGTTACTTAAACAATTAGAAGATGCAGTAGAGGACTACAAGCGAAAATTTGCAGTAATTCGTCATCAACAAGGCTTGCTGTATAAAGAATATCAAAGGTATTGCTCTTTTCTGAGTTATGAAAGTTTAATTATCTAAATATTTAACAGCCTTGAGACAAGATTTTCTGCTGTGTTGAAGTAGTTCTTTGGTTAATGTCATAAGTGCCGCCATGTTTGGATATGGACTCCATACATTTTCTTTAAAAGTAAAGATCCAGAAAACTACAAAACCATCTTCTGCTGCATTCTTCTCATGTTGCATATTTTATCATGAGGATTTCATTGTGCTTTCTGCATCTGGTATCTTGCATTTTACTACAACCTGGTATGATGGACTCTTTAGCCTCCTTTTCTTTTGCTTTCAAGTATGGGTTCTAATAGGTTTTTGGGTGTGGAGAGGAGGGGAGGGAAAAAAGCAAACTGCTGTCCAAATACAGTTGTAGATCTCTAAAAATTTCAGATCGTCAGGATTTTGTGGTTGGTTTTATTTTGGACTCCTAGTTCTTTTATATGCTTCAGTCAACAATGCTATAAAATTATTTGCATGGTCAAAAAAATTTAAAAAGTGTTTTCATCTGTTGGGAAGATAAATATGGAGATTTATATATTTCAATTAATGAACTGTTAGTTGAATAGTCTCTGGATTGGAATGAACAGTCACCTGGATGGTTTCTGGACTAAGGGTTTAACTTTTCAGAAACTTCTGTTTGTTCTTCAAGAATCCCAGACAGTGTTGTCTCTTTTTTTTAGGCATTAAAGAGACAGCTTTTTATTACAGAAGGCTGTAATATACTGTAATATGCTCATTTACTACTAGGTGAGATATCTCCAATGACAGGAATAAAATGATGATTCAAGGCTTCTTCTCTAAACCTGGTACAGATTGAAGTTACAGGAGGAGAGTCTTTGACTTGGCATGCTATTAAAAAGTCACTTTCAAATAATTTACTTTAGTTCTAGTTTTACTCCATTTTTTAAGAAACTTAGATACCTCTTTGAAATGAAAATACCCCTTCTAAAGTACCCTTGATGAAGCATTTTTTTAAACTACCCTAAACTATGCCATATAGTATATAGGAACTTCCTTATTAGACATGTATGAAAGATCATAGTTTGTTTTTTTTCCCACATAAATAAAAATGGATACAGGAGAGTAGTTTGAGCCAAAGTGAAGCTGAATAAGCGGAATCTTTTTATGTTTTGGGTGTGCTTTTCACTGAAATAACAAAACAAGGGTGGAAAGTTATGTTCTTTAAGCATCTGAAATAAAAAGAAATGTAATAGGAGGAAAGAGTTGCAGGCAAAAAAAGTAGGAAAGTAAGGCATATATATATCTGCATTATAATATACATTTGAAGAACAAATAAGACACTGAAGAATTATTTTCATAATTTAACCAGCTGTAGTCTAAACAGGATATTGGTTTTCAGTAATCCATCTACAATTTTTCATGTACTTTTCAAATTATATTACTGCTAGAAGTAAGTACCTTGATTTGCAATATTTCAGAATTGCTGTTGAAGTTAGTTTTAAAAATCATCAGGTCTTTCATTATAATAAATGAAAATTTGTTGCTGTTTTAGTCAAAAGGAAAGCTGGCAAAAAGAATCAGAAAATATTAAAGAGGAAATGAAAAAACTAGAAGAGCAAAAAGAACAGGATGCCACAAAAATAAAGGCATATTCTGTAAGTAATTTTGTTACTTTCATTTTTGAAAAAGATTTTAGGACATAGAACAGAGGTTTTAATACATTACTCTAGTTTGTTGGATAGGGATAATGTGTACACACACGTCTTGTGCATGCCATGGTGCTGTGTATGCATGGGGGTGCTCCAACACTGTGTGTGCCTGTTGGCCTTCCTGCAGTCTGCTAGTCCATGCATTGGGGAGAAACCACCTCAAGAGGTCACATCACACACCTGAGGTGTGGGTCACTAGTTGTTGCACTTAGTACCTCCAGACCATTATCTTGAGTGCTGAGGTGTAGTGTCCAGCAGGGAAGAATCGCTCACAGATGCACAGAGGATGCAGGGACAGTGGAGAAGCTTCTGAAGCTGAACTAGGTTATGAGTGCTGCATTATGACCCTTTCTGCCCCTGCTGTTAGAAGTTTTTTATGCTTTTTTTTTATGCCAGTTTTCAAGCTGACAACTTCTTTATTTGAAGTCTCTAATTTTATGGTTACTATTCAGTCTGGTTAATGGTGATCTTTCTCTTTAAGATTATCAGTTTCAAGCAAATGCCTTCTAAGTCAGTCTTTGGTATTCTGTTCACACACACTATTTACACTCACACTGCTCTCTGGACAGCAGTTGTTACCCAGGCTGTCTGACTGGGAGGGGGTGCATGCAAACAAGCCCTTGGAAAATACATTAAAAAACCCTAAGAATTAAGGTTATTACTTTCAGTTGCATCTTATTATATATAACTGCTAATGTATATGAATCAGGGTTTCAGAAAAACAGGAAACAGAATTCATCTTTCTAGTTTGATTTACTTCCACCAAGTTTGAATTCAATATTGCATTAAGAAAACTGAAAAGTGTTGGTAGTATTTAGAAGTTCCTGGAATTGATGCAGGTGTCTAATCACAGTCATAGTGCAATTTTAAATGGCTCTGGTTGTCTTTGGGCAGCAGACTTTGCAAAATCTAACCAAAGGCATGGCAGCCACGTGTCCTTTTAGAGAAGCAGACACAGGGCAAGGATAGCACAGGGTGTTGAAAGTAACTAGATGTTTAGACAGCTGAGTTCTAGCAGCTCCAATTTCTACTACCTGTCTCCTTGGCAAGCTGGTGTGTGTGATGGCAAAGCTAAAGCTCACATGACTTCTGTGACCTGAGTTGCCGTAGTTTGCTCTCCCCACCACTGCCCCTCCTGGGATTTAAACATACATGCAAACCTGAGTGTGCACACATCCACATAAATGCTACTATAGAAGAGATCCTGTGCTTACTTTACAAGTAGGGGTTTGGTCTTCAAAGTAGGATGTTATTAGAGTTTGTTTGGACTTCTATTTTGTTTAGAAAATTGTTCCAGTGCACGTTTTTATTCTAGTATAAATGGGAAGACTGATGACAGTGAGTGCAGAGAACCATTCTTGTTCTAAATTTTGGAAGTGTCAGCATTAATTAAAATTCCAGTTAGTCGGTCAAATGTACTTAGCTCCTGGTTTTGAAGATCGATCTTTTTCTTAGAATATGTTATGTTTGAGCATATGTTGAGTGTGTGTTTATATTTTATTAGCAAAAAGAAATTATTTCAGACAAATTAATGGAATTTTTCCACCTACATTAAAAAAATATACAAGAAATCTTGTGTATGTAGTTGTGCTTTACCATATTTTTGTACAAGGATCTTGTTAAAAAAATGTTTTACAGAATTTACTCGATGCACTTCAGATGGATCCTGATGAAACAAAGAAAGTACTTGCAGAAAATAATAGAAAAATAACTGTTTTACGAGTTAATGAAAAATCACTAACAAGGCAGTGCACCACTTTACTTGAAATGGAACGGCACCTCAGAAAAGAAAACGAGAAACTAAAGGGTGAAATAACACATATGGAGACTGCAGTTACAGGGAAGATTGGAAACTTGCAACGATTCAAGGTAAAGTTTAAAGTAGTAATAGCACACATTTTTATTTTTGCAGTTTGGAAAGAAACACCCTTTGTTTTTAAATGGAGTTATTACTAGTTTCTTGAATGCATTTCCCAAAAGCTTGCTAACTGCTGTTATAAATCTTGTAGAAATAGTTCCTGTATTTATATAAGTACTGTGACCTGGACAAGCTGGAGAAATGGGTCTGTGGGAATCTCATGGGGTTACACAAGACCAAGTGCAAGGTGCTGCACCTGGCTCAGGGCAGTCCCTGGTACCAGTCCAGGCTGGGGGATGAACAGATGGAGAGCAGCCCTGGGAGAAGGACTTGGGGTGCAGGTGGGTGAGAGGCTGGACATGAGCCAGCCATGGGCACTCCCAGCCCAGAACACCAAACATGTCCTGGGCTGCATCCAAAGCACTGTGACTGCTATGAGGAAAGGCTGAGAGAACTGCGGTCACTCAGACTGGAAATGAGAAAACATGTGGTGTGGGGTGACCTAAATCTGCCCTTCCAGTATCTGGAGGGAGCCTACAAGCAATAGAGACACGACAAGAGTATGTGGTGACAGGACAAAGGGGGACTGGTTTCAAACAAAAAAAAGTAGAGTTTTAGACTAGATATTAGGAAGAAAATCTTAGCTATGAGGGTGGTGAGGCACTGGCAGATGTTTCCCAGAGAAACTGGATGCCCTATTCCTGGAAGCATTCAAGGCCAGGTTGGATGGGGGTCTGAGCAACCTGGTCAAGTGAAAGGTGTTCCTGCCCATGGCAGTGGTTTGGAACTAGATGATCTTCAAGGTGCCCTTCCAACCCAATCCATTCTATGATTCTACGATCATCATAAGAAACCAAATCTTACCTTTTGGTTTTGCAGGTTGCTAGGGCCTGCATCAATTTTATATGTTTTGACAGTGCCTTGAGAGGCAACTATTGATAAAATTACCCAGAGAGTTGTAATATCAGAGTTTGGTCAATGTTTATGGCAGGTGATTTTCAAAGATGAACAGTAATTTAGAAAAATAAACTAATATCTAAAGCAGTATATTAAGTATTCTTTTTATGTGGAGTAATTTTATATTTAAATTTCTAGCTGACTTTAGTAACCTATTGTGCTGATTATTTTCATAGGAAATGGCTTGCTTTAAGATTGCAGCTCTGCAAAAAGTGCTGGACAGTAGTGTGCCATTGTCTGAGCTAGAAGTGGCCAATAAGCAGTACAATGCATTAACTGCTAAATACAGAGAGATGTTACAAAAAGATAATTTGCTTGTGCAAAGGACAACAAACATGGAACACATGGAGGTAATGTCTGTGTTACATTTTAACCCTAAGGGAAAAAATGGGCAGACAGAAAACCATTTCATATCGGTTCTCTGGTTTTTTGTTTATTTGTTCTTTAAATTAAGCTTTGGATATGTTCTCTCAGAGATTAGTTTTAGTTCTTTGATTACTAAAACAAGGCTGGCAGAAGGAGTATTTGCTATCATCCTCAGTTTTGGAGGTCATAAGGAAAGTAGAATGAATGTAAACACTTTCAAAGCTTTCTTTCAAAGTATGTGCTCTTACTAATTCCTAGCTTTCACAGGAATGAAATGTTTCGAAAAGAGTAAAGCTTTGGAATTTTACTTCCATAAAAGAAGCCAAAGATTGTTGATAATGTGCTTGCAAAATATTGTAGGCACTGCAAATATTTAACTCTTCCTGTGAACTTTTATTCTGAAGTAAAAGGGAGTTTCTTATCAAGAACTGTGAAGTTAGCTTCAAAGGTATGTTACTACCTCCCACTTTTCATGGGGGGTAAAGAATGAAGGACTCCTATGTCTATTGTATGGAATTTTGAGCATATGAAAACTTGCATTGCCTGTTTCAGCAACTTCATAGAGCTAAAGAATAATTTATCAACTTAAAACATGTCCAGAAAACTAAAAATTGAAAATAATATGAAGTATTCAATTTGTTTTTTGTTTAATGTGTAAATTTGTGTTTCTGTTTGGAGGAATGAAGGAACATTTACAAAAGTAATATTTGGTATCATACTGAACGCCTAAAAGAACTAAAAGAAATGTCTGATCTGTCTCAAATAGGTACTTATGTGCAAAATGAAGTATTCTTTGTGGGATGAAGTAATCCTCCAGAAGTATTTCTTTCCACTGTCAATGAGGTGCTTAGTATGACAAACAAGTATTTTCTCATCTAATTCTAGACGTTGTCTGAATCACAGTCACTGGTAATAAATATTCACAGCATTACTAGCTGTGACAGTAAGATACAGTGGATAAAGACTGACATTTTTACACTTATAAAACATATGCACTTTACAAACATGTACTCTTCTGTTGCCATATATGTAGGTTATGGGTCACACACAGGTAAAGTCTGTTAATCTGAAAGATTTTGTAGATACTAAACATGAATTCTGCTACAATTAAATAGTTTGCTGTTACATTGCAACTTTTCTGTCATATAGCGTGAGAATGAGTCCTTGAAAGCACAGATAAATTCATTGAATAAGGAACTGGAGATCACAAAAGAAAAACTTCACACTGTAGAAGAAGCTTGGGAACAGATGACTAAACTGGGCAAGTATGAAAGTTATATTGCAACATTAAACACCAAATGGTATATCCTGTATAAAAGCAATACTGTAAAATATTTTAAAATTGATGTGTCTGAAAATAAAATTTAAAAAACCAAATAACCATATCTATTTAATGTCTTTCAGTAATGATCTGCATTTTTGTGTTGAATTTTTTTGTTTGTATGTTTTATTTGACTAAAACCAAATTTGGTATTTTTCTCTTGAAACTCCTCTGCTTTGACTTTGTTGGGTTACTGGGTCAAGAGTTTAAAAGCTTTAATGCAACATCAGCTGAATTTTTTTTTTCTTACTATGTTCTAACTTGACTGTCAGTAATAATGTTTCAGAGGTTGTCAAGAGTGTGATTTCTTTTTTGCTGGTTTCATGCCTTGTAACAAAGTATTCTTTCCTAACAGCTGGGGTTTCTTTGTATAGATTTCATTCCCATTATTTGGGAAAAGCACATTTATCCAATTTCTTTTACAGATTTTAAATTAAATTTCCTTTAGATTTGCCAGCTATATTAAGCATAAGGTGACAAGCTACATTGAAAGTAGTTTTCAGTCTCAATAACCATGGTTGCAGCTATATGCATTCATAATTGATAGCAGTATTTTATTCAAATTACATAATTTTCATACATGTAGTAAGGCAAGATAACCATACCTCCAGCTTAAAAAAAATAGCACAGATTTTGTGATAAAATTTACTTGACACAGATAAAGCAGAACTCATGTTCAGTTTCATGGTGGAAATAATTTTCGTAGTTATATCAGTTTGTGTATTTCTTAATTTAGGTTTTTTTTCTTGTAGGGGATGAAAATGCCATGGACAAAGCCACAAAAGCAATAACCAACAGTGAGATTTTGTCCATTTCTAAGAAAATCACTATGTTGGAAATGAAAGAACTAAATGAAAGACAGAGAGCAGAACATTCACAACGAATGTATGAACATTTAAGGAGTACTGTAAAGCAAATAGAAGAACGTAATTTTGAATTGGAAACAAAATTTGCTGAGGTAAATCTGCTGAGATTTAACAATCTAATTAGATATATCTTAAAAACATATTTTTGAGCTTTTCAAAAATTATTTATATCAATAATACCAATTTGTGTCAACAAATAAGCTTAAGATGCAAAAAATAGTTTTGCAGCCTTTAAAAGCTGCAATTTTGCATATGCAAGACGTTGATAAAAATAGAACTCAACAATTTGTCAGAAGTTTGTTTTAGAAGTTAGTTAATAGTAAAGCACATTATAAGCATCTTGACAAATAATTTTCTAGTTTTGTCAGCAGACTGCAAGAAAACAGTCTATTCCAAACTTGTTATTTCTTTTGTCTAATCCATGTGATCTCATTTCCTTATGAATTTTTCCATTTCCAATTATTCAAAAAAAAAGGTTAGAACTTTACATCCCTTGTGCAAATGATAGTGTTGTGATTCTGTTACAGTCTGGCCATGTCCTATGCCACATATTGTCTATAGTACAGAAATAGAAGTCATGTGCCATTGAAGCTGATGAATCTTAGTATTCCTATAATTTTTAAACTTTCTAGGGTGTTTTGCCCACACTATTTGTATTTGAATTTCTTATACAAATTAATTTTTTATTAATAGGAGACTTTATTATAATTTCTACAATAAATTTATTTATAGGAATTATACAGATTTGTTCTTGTGACATTGCTGGTCTATAATTTTAGTACAAGGGCAGAAATATAATAATTGGTAGGAATGCTGATAGGTTGTATTCATTTCCACTCCTTGTCCTTTGCTGGAGTGTAATCTAACTATTTTAGATTGTTCTGGTTTGACTCCCTTTTTCTTTGTCCTTTTAGTAATGTTTGTTACATTGTTTTGATTTGACTTAATCTGGGAAATGGAGTAACTGAAAGTGTATAAAGCTTTTCAGCATTAGTATTAGTATTGCTGAAGCCTTTTCTGATGGAATAGGTTCTTTTATTTCTATAAGAAATACTTTAGGTGATGCACCTTAGCATCACATTTTTCATATTCTCTTTTGTGTTTATTATTATTTTAGGTCTGATGGTCGTCCTTCATTCTGAGTTTATGAACTCCTAATGCCATTCTTTCTTACTAGTACCTCTCTATCCCCTTTTTGCCCCATTTCTGTAGTTCCAGGACATACATTTTCTGTTTCATATACTCTTGTTGTCAGTACCTCCTAAACTAGTGCCAATCCTAATAATTGGGTTTTTTGTTTGACAAAGAGATAAGAAGGTTGTGTGGATGTAATTAATGAAAGTTGTAAGTGATACCAGTGTAAGAACTGATAGCTAGAAGTCTACTATACATTGTTTTAACTCATAAATCAACTTCAGCATTCTACTTTTAGTTTTCCAGATACATGAGGATACCCTGCACTTCTTTTTGTTTGTTTAGGAAATCAGTTACTTTATTAAGAAGAAGTGTTATCAGAATAATGGGCCACAAATGTATGCACTAATTAAGTCCTGGGATTTCTCTGTGTTAGGATTAAGATAGATTATCTATTTTTAATGTCTTTTGGTTCCAGTTGAAATATTGGTTACTCAGTGTTTGATAATCAACTTGAAAAATCGGGCTTCTTGAAAGAATATCAATTAAGAAAGTTGTTTTAGAAAAAATAAAAGAACATTATTGTCAGTATTGGCATTTATAACCTCTATGTGCTATCAATGCCACTATAAAAGGCAGTACATAAATTTGTAAAACTGTTAATTTCCTAAAGTGTTTACAGTCTTTTTTTTAAATTTATTTTTACTTTCCATTTTAGTTTAGGAGCAAGTTATTGCAGTAACTGTTTTAAGACAATTCACTGATAAAAATTGTGTTTAGTTTAGAATTCTTTTCAGTGCCAAATTGTGTATTCATTCCTATGTGCATGGAATCCTGCAAATGAAAAGATGTTTAATCAAAGAGTAAGGGAAACTGGCTTTTGAACACCACCTCATCACTGCTGAACTGTATTTTGTAATGACTGAAAAAGAAAAGTACTTTTGGTGCTGCTATTTCATTGCAGAGTTTGAGCGGCTATGTGCTGACAATACCATTTTGTTTGTTTATTTGTGGTTTTGATTTTTTTAAGCTCACCAAAATCAATCTTGAGGCACAGAAAGTGGAACAAGATTTAAGAGATGAACTGTCAAAGAGTGTAAGTAAGGCAGTAAGTGATGCAGATAGACGACAAATTATGGACCTAGAGAAGCGTGAGATGGAGCTCAAGATTGAAGTATCAAAGTAAGTCTTTGAAGTTATAAGTTTTGAATTCTGTATATTCAGAAATGTGTGAAAATTCAGGCATACTTGTCTTACATAATACACTACTTGTGTATCACTAACATCCAATTTTCAATACCTGTTTTTTTTAGCATATATGCATGCCAAACTTGGCATTGAAAATGAAGCATTTAACTCCTGACTATAAAGAATGCAATTTGTTTCATTTTAATTTGAACAAGGAATTAAGTACTGGCCTGGATAAATAGGGTAACTGTGCAATTAGATACTTACAGTAGTATTTTTACACTAATTAGGGTTGGTTTTGTTTCTGTGCCACAACTCCCGTTCTGTGTATGAAAATCTCATAGAACTAATTGGAAAGCAGATTTTTCTTTGAAAGACTCATATCTCAAACATTAAGATACAGTAGGAGGGAGGTTTTCCATTTGCTTAGAAGAGATTAACTTTGCATAAATTGGAAAACTGAGCTTTTTAGATATGTTGATATGAACATTTGTCTTCAAGTAATTAATGTAATCCTGTTATATGCCTAAACCAGCAAAATCTATAGGGATACTTGCAGTGAATTTTGGCACTGCAAATAAGTTATTAGATTTGCAGAAGCAGAGAACAGAATTGAGAATTAAACATTTTGAGCACTTAGAAAATAGTGAGTATTTATATCATGAAGTAGGAGAGAAAGAGAGGACAGAGATGCTTAGGTAAAAAAAACATGGCATTGTTTTGTGGAAGTAGGTTACTGCTAGCAAACTTCTGTATAATACATAGGAAAATGTCCTGTGATAAAGTTGAGAGGCAATACAGAAGAATTTTCTTAACCAGAATTCTAAACAGTAGAGTGTGCTGAAAAGAGTGAAGTACAAATGTTTTGATATGAGGAAACATATTAACTATCTTTGTTTAGTATCTTCAATGTAAAAAAACATAATAAGTTATTCAGTGGTTCCAAGTGACACAATACTCTTGTTTTCCCTGGAAGGTTAAGAGAACTGTCTGATGTAGCACAAAAACAAGTTGAAGTTCTGGAGGCACGCCAGCAATACAGAGATAAAGAAGTGGAATATCTTAGAATGCAAATTTTAGATTATCAGGTAAAATTCAGCCTTTATTAAAATTTCAGTTCTGATTCTTTTTTCCCTGGAATGAGAGGAAATGAAATAATTTTGCAATGAATTTGAAAATTGCAGAAGTGTTTCAGAAGAATCTTAGCAAGCTAGTCCTTGTAGTGCCCATACCTTTTCAAAATTTCTGTATTAAATTTATTATTCCCTTCTCCACTTATTCATTTCTAGCTGTGAAGCTATTACGGGTCCTGACCTTTTTCTGTGTTGATTACGTAGTATTCATTCCTGTATCTTTAATAGCTCATGGTCAAGGAAAAACTCATGGTGAGGAAAGTCTGATCAATTTTTTTCAAGGCAAGAAATTGTAAATATTGAAGATCTGCAATAGGTTTCCTATTTTGTTTTGTTATTAGCTAAAATAATTTGGTTTCACATTATAGAGAGGTTTGAGACCTTAAATCCAACACTTGTGTCAACTTTTACATTACCATATCTTCTAAATTTACTTACACAGTTTTTCCTCAGTTTCTGGTATTTTGGAAAGAGACTATTTTGAAGATCAGTGTCTGAAAAGGTGTACTTCTAAAATGTGGCTGTAGAAACAACAGTGGAAAAATTAAAAGCCTGTTAGAGGCTGATTCTTACTCTTCTCTGTGGAATAAAATACATGCAATATATAATTCATATATATAAAATGTAGTTTGTTTATATATACGTATAAACTGTGTTAACATATTCTGCGTTAAAATGAAAAATAAATTTGTTCTATCAATTTTGTTCTTAGGCACAGTCAGATGAAAAAGCAATTATTGCAAAACTGCATCAAGATATCATAGCCCTTCAAGGTAGTGAGTCTGTTGCTGTGGGCAAATTGGAGAAGTTTAAATTGAAACTACAGAAGATGGAGATCCATAATCTACGTTTAGAGCAGAAACTTGATGAGAGAGATCAAGCCTTATATTTTGCCCGACTTGAAGGAAGAAATAGAGCCAAACATCTACAACAGACGGTTCAGTCTTTGCGGCGACAGTTTAGTGGTGCTCTGCCTTTAGCACAACAAGAAAAATTCTCTAAAACAATGATTCAGCTACAGAATGACAAACTGAAGATCTTGGAAGAAGTTCAGCATGCCCAGCAGGAGCGTCGAAATGCAGAAAACAAAGCATTAGAGCTGGAGTTGAAACTGAAAAGTTTAGAAGAATTAGTAAGTGCATTGAAGGATACAAAAGGAGCTCAAAAGGTTTGTGATTTTATAGCTTTGAATAGCTTTGCTTATCTGAACTGCATTTAAATAAAGTTTCAGCTTAGTTTGTTCTCTAAATATATGTTTTAATGTAAAACTTACTGATTTCAGAATACACTTGTAGAATATGACAGCTATCATACTTTGCTTTCTGTAAAAGTCAGTGCAGTTATATATATTAATTATCTTCTTTTGTGTACAATTAAGGCACATAGGGACTAAATTCTAACTATAAATGCAATTATATTAAATTGTATTAAATTTTGAATTGAATTAAATAATTAATTTAATTAAGTTAAATACAGAGTACTGTTCTGAAGTTTTGTTCCATGAGCTTGCATTGAAATCCTTCCACATCCATGTCTTTTTAAAAAAAAATCCAGGGGCAGTAATTTAGACAGCATGATTAGAAATACTGCTGTGCTTATGTAATTCTGCTTAAGCGTGTTTTGCAACCGTAAGCAAAGTCACCCTGAAATCTTAAGAAGGCTTTCTCGCTTCTCTTCAAGATCACTGTAAGATATGATCATATCCGTTGTGACCAAAGTTGTCTGCATATAAGCAATAGCTATAATGCTTTGGGTATGTTTTAGTTTCAAGTCAGTTTTCAAATGTTTTTCTAGAGCATTTTGACATGTCTGTTATTCTTAGTACAAGGGCATTTTTTTGTATACCTACAGTTTTTAATGGTTTGGAATTCTCTTGCTCTTTTAGAAAATACAAACTAAAATTTTTGCATTTTTTTTTGTTCAGTCTAGACAGATACATAAGGTATAACTTGGATCATTTGAAAATTGTTTCCAATGCACTTTTGTCAGTGTAAGGGAAACCTGTTGCCTCTCCAGTTGGCTGCTGCACTTATCAGTCATTCTCTTGCAGTTTCATACTCTTGTCATGCTTCCTCACTGAAGAAAAGTGAAGAAGCTTAAAAAAGCAAAATATCTGTTTTCCAGTTAGAGAAGTTCCATCCTGCCTCAAAGCCAAAGAGTGAAGCTGCATCTAGTTGGTCTATGGTAAATTATAATATACTGTGTATTATTCATTGCAAGGTAATTGAATGGCACATGAAAATGGAGGAACTCCATCTGCAGGAACTTAAACTCAGTCGAGAATTAGTGAAGCAAAAGGAAGAGGTGAAGTATTTGCGTAATATCATTTCTGAATATGAATGTACAATCAGCAACCTGGAAGAAGAAATTGTACAGCAGAACAAGGTATGTATTCCTGCATGCTATTGAAAAAATATCCTGTTCCTTATTTTACTAAGTGATTTTCTAACAACTTTTTAACACAGTTGTTTATATCTTGGTTTCCTAATCCTTTTTAATAGATTGTTTGAGTGTTTTACTTTTTGGGAACTATTTTTTGAGTTAAGTTGTCTATAAAATTCCCATTGCCTTCAATAAATAAACTACTTCTATCAAACATTTATTACAGTTTCATGAAGAAAGGGAAATGGCTTGGGACCAGAGAGAAGTAGAACTGCAGCGCCAGTTAGACCAGTATGATCATCAACAAACTGAAATACTTAGCACAGCTTTAAAGGTATATACACTAAGAGTACACATATAAGCATGTTTTTAAGAGCTGTCAGATTACAGGAATATTAATCTTTCTGTACAGTTAGAAGAGGCTACAGGCTCTGTTCCAGATCCTGCTTTGCCAATCCCACAACAACTTGAGTTGGCTTTAAGAAAGATTCAGGAACATATTCGAACAATCCTGGAAACTAGGGCAACCTGCGGATCACTGGAGGAGGTAATTTAATGTATAAATTATAATTTAAAGTGACGAAGTTTGTGTTTCCATACTCTTTTACTTTTTTATTCCATGAAAAATACCCTTTTTTAAATGTCATTTGGACATATTTAACACTCAGAAAATATAATTAATATAATCAAACTATGAGTAAAATGAAATATTTTTTCCATTGGAACAAATCGTGAAGGAGAGTTTTCTAATGTTTTTATTCATCCATTTAGTAGGGTAAGATGCCTCTTGCTGTACAAAATTCAGTTGACTATACCTAGTTAAATTTAGTAAGTGCTACAAAATACTTTTATCTTGGGTTGTTAAATTGCTACTCTGCTACAGAAGATACTTTGTGGTTCTTAAATAATTTGTAAAACACCAGCTTCTTCATTTGGTAGGACAAAATGAATTGTTTAAGTGTCTTGTGCCAAGCAAATACATGAAGACACAGTTATGATATTCTGGGACATTGTCATCATTTCCATCCCATATAGACAGAACCCAGTCAAAAGTGTTTTGTGTTTATATGTACATTTAGATAAATCTTTCTGCTACATTTCTTGAAAAATAAGATCTTTTTGCAGTGTTTGAATTCTGGAAATGCAGAAATTGCCTTTTGTTGTAGAAATTAAAAGAAAAGGAGACTGCTCTGTGGAAAGCTGAACAAAATGTTATATCAAGGGACAAAGTTATAAATGAATTAAGACTTCGATTACCTGCAATATCAGGAGAGAAAATAATGGCTGACTTTAGCAAACAAGAAGATGACTCAGAGTACCATCATGCCATGAAAATTGCTCATCAAACCATTGCAAATATGCAAGCAAGATTAAATCAAAAGGAGGAAGTGTTAAGAAGATACCAACATATGCTTGCTAAAGCAAGAGAGGTAATTAAACTTCTTTTCCTGAAATTTCTTCCATTTTCAAGTTGTTTTAGTTGACTCTTTGTTTTCTCATTGCTAGTGAAATCTAAAAAGAAAGGTTTCTGATCTCACACAGAACAGAGAGAATTACATTATATGTGGAAAATTCATATAGAATTTTTTAGCTCTTTAGAATAGTGGTTTGCTTAATCAAGAGGTTATAAATATAATGTCCATCTAGGAATTAAAGTAGTGTGACATGAAGAAAATTAAAATTCTGCTGAAAAGGTCTCGGTATATTTTGTATATTTCTTTGGGATTTTCAGTATTTGCAGCAGATTGCATCTGGTAGTGAATTTGGAAAGTACAAGAAAGACATACACTTATGGATAATATTCTTAAATCATATTTTAAGCTAAAGCATTTTTAAAAGCATAAACAGTGTGTTTAAGCATACTTTATATTATTTAAGCATAGTTTGTATTGTTTTTTCTTTATATCCATAAAGTGTATTTTAAAGCATAAACATTTTGTCAAAGAGATATTTCAATACCAAACATGCATCAGTTGTAGCGTGAGCCGAAGCACATTTCCAAAGCAGATTTTCTATCATCTTTGCTTAGTGTTCTTTGGTTAACACATGTAGTATTTCTTTTGGGAGAAATCAAGGGGTTTTGTTTGGAAAAAAACCCAGAAGATACAGTTTTAAAATGAGCCTGTTGTGCTCTGTGTGCTAGCATTCCATCCATGGGATCACACTATAATCTAAAGTACATAAATTCGAAATGTACCTGGTTATGGATATTACTGTCCATGCTGAAAGTCACAGTTGGTGAAGACCAACACCAACAGTTTTGTTCTCCAGCTTCTGTGCTGTTACACCATACTACTTGCTACATAGCTTAAAACTGCAAGAGTTGATGTTTTTTCCCCAATAGTGTGAAAAAAAAAAAGAAGAAAAACATTGATTATAGCTAGAAAAAAAAATTTTAAAAATGTACAGAATTAGAGGAAAAGCTGGGGAGTAATATTGAGCAATGAGTGAACAAGCAACTTGAAGGCACTGCCGTTTCATGACTTTCTGTGATAGTGTACATCACCAGTTTTATTTTGAACTAACAGGAACAAGAGGAAATAGCAAAGAAGCATGAGGAAGACATAAGAGTACTACACCAGAAGTTAGATTTGTACACTGACAATTCCCTTAATAAATTCAAAGAGACTGCTGTGGTGAGTCGTGTATTTGTAGAGTTAGTGAAGTTGTTCCTATATTTTTTATATTGTTGCTGGAAAGAACAGTTTTGCAGTCAAAAGGGAGTAATAACTGATGATATATATATATATCATTGATGTATAACTGTTGTATTGTTTTTGAGAGATTTCACATGAGAGGCATTAGAAGTCAAGTGTAAAAAACCAGATTTACCACATCAGTATATATGGGCATTTTGCATATCATCTGAATTCATGGAGAATTCTAGGGAAGAGAGTTATATATGGGTTATATATTGCTTTCTCTTCTTCTCATTCAGTGTATGGGTATATTAAGCTAACCCATTTCAATTCAAAATTTCTCTTTGCACTTTATGATAAGGTGAAACCGGTATTCTGCTGTATTCTGTTGATCATTAGATGCACAAAGCTCCAAAGCTCTTTTCAAAGCAGCCTGACCTGTTTCTCTGTAAACTAAAAATCACATCTCAGTAAATAAATGGTAGCTATTAATGATTGTATTTAGGAATGAGTTAAAAATGCATCAGTAATGCTTATCTTTTGCTTAAAGTTGAAAATGTTTACCGCTTGCATTTGTTGTGTTTTACAGGAGTTAGGGAAAAAGACTTCTATGTCCCTTTCCAACAGCAAATATTTTCATCACTTAGAGCAAACTGTAGCAGAACAGGATCATTCTCTTGCTTCACTTGTTGGAAAATTAAAGAAAACATCATCTGATTTGGAGAAACAAAAACAAATTACTGTATTGAAAATCAATGAATTTGAGATAATCAGAGCCCAGTAAGTTTTTAACATTAACATAATGACTATTAACGTAAGTCATAATTGAAATGGTTCAAGTCAATTATGTATTGCTGCTACAGGACTGATCTATCAAATTTAACGTGTTTTTGCTTATTTTAAGATCTAGCTGAAAAAAAATCTCAAAAGTGTTAGTACAGTTGGAAATTGTAAGTTATTTTTAATCTGTAGTCCTTCACTGGGGCTAATACTGGGGCTTGAAAAAATGCTGTTTAGTTGTTAGCTTTGTGCCTTTTAGTGAAAAAGAACATTGTTTTTAATTTACTGTATTACTTGCTGGCTTGTGTTCAGTCATTTTTCTTTTCATGACACATCCATTTGGGTCTGCTGCTGAACAAGTTTAAACTCATGAAAGTTTAACCCGTGTTTAAAAGGAAAAAATATGATGATTTCTTAACCTGTAAGATCCAGGAATGAAATGAACAATGCTATAATGTAATTTTGCTGACTTTCATGAGTAATTTTCTTATTATATGGGGGCTGCCTTTGTTGAGTCAGTTTTTCTTTGCTGTTTCCAAATCTAAGTATCTTTTTCTCTAATAATAATAAAAATATAATATTGTGTCCTTTGTGATTTATTTAGAGTTTGCTAACTTAATTATTACACTGTACCCTATTAATGCTTATTTTTTTATTAGGCTTCAAGAAAAGCACATACTTGATGTGGAACAAATTAAAGAAGAAGCAAATGAACTGAGGAACATATTATCTCAGAAGGAGAAGGAATTAGCAAATGTTAAAGCTGAACTAGAGGTCCAAAAAGAAGCAAATAATAGAGCACCCACAGCAACACTGAAAAACCTGGTGGAACAGCTGAAGAGCCAGTTAGCCATAAAAGAGAACCAGCACAAAGTTAGTTAATAAAAATTAATCTCTATGTCACTTGAATACTAAATCTTTCCTAACGGTTAAGAATTCTTTGTATCACTGAGCAGGAGGTACAATATAACCGCGTAACATGTCAAAGTAAAAGAAAAATGCCTTTTCTTGTTGTAGTGGGTCTAGTGCTGGACAAATACCAGTGCACCTAATAGAATTATTTACTCATTTTCTGCTGTGAGATAAGGATTAGGAGGAGGAGCAAAGCAGGCTCAAACTTTAAAGGGTATAAAAACTTTATTAACATAATTAAAAAAAATAATAAGAAATCAGAATTACCCTTCAGAACACTTCTCCTCCCCCCACACTTTTTTTTCTTTCTTGCTGACAACATAAAAAGACAAAACCTGTGACTTTCAGTCAGTTTACCATCTTTAAAAATAGTTTTTCTTCGGTTCTCTTAGGGAGCAGAGTCTCTCTTGCCATGCCATGGAGACTTCTCACAAGAAACAATTCTCTCATGGCTTCAATGTCACAGCAAATCAGCCACCCAGGAAAGGAAAATCTGTTTGCAGTGTGAAAGTCCCTCCCACAGTTTTGGTAGCTTTCCCACAACTACCACCATGGGCCATTTCAGCTTATTGGGGTGCAATCTTTAGAATGATCTGTTCTAATACAGAAACAAAAGTTCTTTTATCTCTAGGAACAGAGTTTTTCTTCTATCCCTGGGGCAAGGTACTTAATTTCTTTCTTCTTTTTCTGTTCAAGCTACTTCAGCATGGGTTCATGGCTGTGGTTAGAATACTACATCCCCCCAATGCATTCTATGAGTTACAGGGGGGAAATAAGAGTCTGATGTATCAATTATCTCTTCACCATAGCCTTACAAGAATTTCAGCCCAAAACTAGGGCATCTCCTCAATCTCTTCTCATGTAGACTTTGACTCCTTCTTCACTGACCTCAGTGTCCCATGTTGCTTTATTTGTCTTCACCCTTTCTTTTTTCCTCATTCAGGAAAGAACTGGTGTTCATAGGTTCATTTGTTCTCAATTTATATCAACTGAAACAGTTTTTACAGAGTTCTGCAGCGCTGAAAAGATTGATCTCATCCAGGCTCTGCATTGAGGATGTCGCTGGCCGTGCCTCTGTTGGTTGTGAGGCCTCTGCCGACACCATGCGAGTTGTGCCGGCTGCTGGTGCCACCCCGTGGTATTCTCTTCATGCGGGATGCCGAAAAAGAAAAGAAAAGCTGCTGCCGCTACTTTTGTCCTTCTCTCCGCAGCATGGCTGGCTAAAAGCGGCTGAGCAAAGTTCATTGCAAACAATGCCACGATAGCTGTGGCCGCGTGGCGCTGCGATTTCGGCCGAGCAGTCCCGGCCCCGTGGCCGCTCCCGGCCTCAGGGCTGCTTCCAGCACCGGCCACGAGGCCGCTCCCGGCGCCGGTCCCGGCCGCATGGTTACTCCAGGCCTTGGGATGGCCCAGCGGTGCCACCGGAAAAAAGAGATCGGTGGGCTCTGCCAAAAAAAGGCCGGGTGCCACTAGGAAGGAGCCCCAGCCGCTCCGCTGGGATGGGGCTCATGGGCCCCCCGGGCAGGGGCCAGGGCCACAGCAGAGCCCGGCCGGGGCGCGCAATCTATGCGGGGCTGGCCTGGACAGTGCCCAGTTACCTGTTCAAAGGCCAGAAACAAGAGAGCTTTTTACAGGCTTTATTCGTTTTCAAATGCGCTATTCACAGAGGTGCGTCCAGCTTTCTTAGTGGTTTAACAATGTGTCACTATTCAGCTAATTAGCTCTGTAAAGTCCAGAGAAAGCTGGTAGCAGTCCTCTCCGAGAATCACTTCCATAACTGACAGATGTTTCTCTTTAACTAAAAACCAAGCTATGTTAAACCACGACACTTGTTTTGTAGCAGCATCTTCACTTATAAAAAAAATTGAATTAATTATTTTCAGGCTTTGAGTAAAGCACTTCTAGAACTCCGAGCAGAAATGACTGCCAATGCTGAACAGCAAATTATTTCTGCTGCATCACAAAAAGAGGCATATATGAATGTCCAAGAGATTGTTGACAGAGAAACAAAGGGGCTTACGGTGAGTACTAGGTAATGTCATTGTATTGCTTTTTTGTATTGTTGATCAACCTGATTTCAGGCCTTTGCTGACTTTTTTGTTTTCTTCTAGACACAGATAGAGGAATTGAATAATCAGATTACAAAACTTACAGATAACCTTAAAATAAGTAAAAGCAAGGAAACTTCATTGTCTAATGAAAGGGATGAGTTAAACCAAGAGCTTCAGAAGAAAGAAAAAGCATTTTCTAAAATATCGAGGGAAAAAAATGAAATAGAAAAAGAAAATGAAGAACTGAAGAACCGGATTAGGAGGCTAAGCAGTAGCATTCAGGTAGAAGCGACTTTTCAAACTATGTTTGATCTTGGTCAAGTTTCTGTATAGAGGAGCTGGTTTGGGGGGAATGAAAATATAAGTATCTCGCACTTGATTAAAAAGTTTATTTTTTCCTCATCAGTTGGGTTACATGTAAGCTATTAGCTTGTTTCTATGCCTCAGCTAAAAAAAATTGTGTACTTCTTGAAATATGTTTGTAAGAGTCTGAGAAGTTGAATAACCACTTTCTTGGCTTGGGAAAATGGTATTTTGTCTTCTTCCTGGCTGTCCCTGTTTCTTCTTTTAGACGATAAGTAAGGGATTTACAGAAGAATCATCCATTTATTTTTTAAAATTCAGCTACTTGCTGCTGATTATTCAGGTCAGAGGGAAAAGTTACATTTCAATACTATAATAATTTGAAGACAATTTTTAAAATATCGTTTAGGTTTTAAACTAGTTTTGCCAATTTGGAATTAAAATCCTTGTTTTTTGATTGGAGAAAAAAATCTCAGTAGTCACTTAACTTGAAGCTGTAAAATTCTGTAATTTTTCAGAGCAAAGCTGATGAACAAAATCTGATAGATGTGCTTCAGAAAAAAATTAAGAAGTTGGAAAGTGAACTTGAGAAGAAGTGTGAAGAAACAGAAAAGAAGGGTCTAAGAGAAGACAAGGTATGTGCTGTTTATATCATGGCTTTGAAAGAGCTCATTAGCTGAGGCCAAGGTTGTTCACCTCTCCCTACTTCTTCTGAAACGTACCAGCCAAACTTGATCAGAAAAAAAGTAGTTTCATGGGTGCAACTTCTCATGTTTCTCATGCACTTTATTACTGCTCTTGTTACTTTGTACTGATATATTAATGCTTTCCTGCCTTTTTGTAATGGATGTTTAATTCTACAAAATCTTAGAAAATGAAGATTGTTTAGGTAGCGGTGAAATTGATTACATAAGTTCTGCCAAATGTGCTTTTGTGAAACCAATGCAATAGTAAAAGCACAAAATACTGAGGAGCAAAAGAGTGAATCTTAAAAGGGATGGTATCTCTATAAGTGATTATTCTTGACAATTGTGATCTCCACATTCAAGAAGTTCCGAGTGACTACAGCTGTGTTAATTTTTAAGTGTTTTCCTGGTTTCCTGCTTGTTACTATGTCACTATCTAATTAGTGGCTTCTCATATTAATTATAAAGTGTACTGGAATATTATAGCACACTTGCATAATGAGAGTCAAACTATTTATGTATGATGTTTATTACTATTCTAGGACTGCACTTAGGCTTTCATTTAATTTGAAATGTTTTCAATGCCTGTTGCTTTGTGTGTAGAGGTATTTTTCTCACACTTGGCACGCATTTTTCCTGTTCTCCAAGATTTTCCTTTCATTCCATTGCTTTATAGCAGTAACTGTTTAGAACAAAAACAGAAAATTAAGTACAGGGAATAACCAGAGAAAGAAAAATTCCAACTAAAAATAAACAAAAAAAACCCTAAACCAAACCAAAAATTTTTTATAGGAATAATGACTGTGATTTTTCGGTACACACTTGTGATCCTATAGTTATAGGTTTTAATCAATGTATAATTTATAGTTACTGAGTTATTAACTCTAAGTAGAGATTCCATTTCTTGTAGGAAAAGAAGCTGTGCAACAGGGGCATGCAAGTCCCTGGTGAGTTGTAGAAGACAGATCTGTTGTAAATTACCATATGAAAAACCTACTTTGTCTTAAATCTTGTAATTTGAAGTAAAAGGACACATTGCACTAGCACCTCTAATTTCATAAAATGCTTCACTCCTTTTATTTGTAAAATGAATATTAAATGCTAAGGAAGAATTTGGTAGGAGCAATCAACTGCATTAGCTTTATACACCAATCATAGCAGTGTATCCAGCTGAATTTTTTAGAGCAAAGCTGATGAAAAAATCTGATGGATGTGCTTAAGAAAAAAATTAAGAAGTTGGAAAGTGAACTTGAGAAAAAATGTGAAGAAACTGCTACTTAGCTATGACAAATAATATATGCCTGCTATGGCTTCCTGGTTTAAATTGATAAATGAAGGATATATCATTCTTAGTTTTTAAATGTGTTTGCTTGTTTTGCATTAAGAGAAGAAATCAAAGGGAAATACATAATCTATTTATGTTCTTCACAGACCTCCAGGGAGGAAATAATTAGATGGGATGAAGGTAAAAAATGGCAAATCAAAATGGAAGGATTGCGGAACAAACTAAGGGAAAAGGAAAAAGAAGCAGATGCTTTATCTAAACAGTTGAATACATTGAAAGAAATTTATACAAAGTGAGTTGTTTTTAATTGATTCAGCTTCAAAATTACAACATAAGGGAAATCCAGATATGTTTGACATATAGTAATTATTGCAGTTTGTTATGTTTATAAGATTGATAGCGAGAATTTGACGTTGCTGTTGAGACTAAAAGGTTTAGTTAATTTTCAAGCAGCAGGCTACTAACTCCTCTAGTATCCTTTCCCTTATGGAAGCCAACTACCTTTATCAGAAGAAAGTGTCTCGAGATAAAATTAATTTAAGTCCTTTATTATGCTTCCTGGTGTAGCATTCTATTATTCTCATAAAGCAAATAACAGCTTTATGAAGACAGGCTGTTTCTCATGATGATGTTACTTAATCAGGTTGCTAGGACTGGATACTTGTAGTGTTACTGCAGTAATGACAATTCTAGGATTATGAGTTTGAAGCCTTTTCAGGAAACAACCATATGTCCATATCCTGTTTTGGGATTTTGGTAAGGCTTTACTGTCTATACAGTAACCTTATTAAACAGAAAAAGGGGGTTTGGTTCAGTGAGCAGATGAAACGCAAATGTGGATTCTTTAAGACAGAAAGTATTCCCTCCTCAAGAAACAAGTTAGCAAATAAACTTTAAAATGTAAATTAACTGGATGTTGCAGGACTGAAAAAGAGAAAGTTGCTCTACAGAAGAGACTGAAAACTACTGGTGTCACTGTTGACCGTGTTGTTGGAGTAAGAGCCACAGAAACTGAAAAAGAAGTGGAAGAACTAAGAAAACGGAATCTAGAGTTAGAAAATGAAGTTGCACACATGAGGTGAGATGCTTTTTAAAAGAATATAAAAAGTGAGAAATATAAATTAGTAAAAAAATATATGGAATGAGATAGTCTCCAACAGGCAAATTATACTTCAAGAAGAAAAAACAGAAACAGGAATTTAACTTAGAGTCTGTGATGAACTAACTTAAAAGTATTTGGGAGTAGTTGTGCATGTTCAGAGACTATGTAGCATTGGTTCATTATTCTAAAAAGCTAAATAATATGAAAAACATATGGCTCCTATTGTGAAAAATTTTAACAGCAGTTTAGAGTTGGTGAAAGTTACTGGAACTGCTAAGTGCAGCTAGGAAATGTATTCTTAACCAGTGTATCCACTATCACAGTGGATAATGTACCTGAGTAATAGAAATTGTACACATCTGAAAAGAGCCGATTCCTTTTGCTAAAGCAAGTATCTTCCATTCATTGGGATTAGCTGAAATATGACCAACATTGATTTAGAATAACTAGCTTAGAAATACTGGGAAAATCCAGTGTAGAAATCGAGAATTTCACGGTGCTTTTACCTTCAGGGATGTTTTTCTGCATTAATAGCCATTTGTTTGTTTTGGCTTGATTCATTTGTTGATGTAGAACACTGCAAGCAATCCCACGAGACTCTGTTGTAGAAGATTTACACTTCAAAAATCAATGCCTCCAGGAAAAGCTTCATGCATTGCAGAGACAATGTTCAAGAGAGACATTTTTGAGACCCTTGGTAAGTTAATAATGTAACCATATTATCTAGAATACTATTTATGAAAAGTATTTGTTTTCTATTTGGTATTCTGTCACTTAGCTGGTTTTATTTGAACGACAGTATTCTACAGCAGGATATGAAATACTCATCTTTTGGTGCTTTTTAAAAAACCCAACAAACCAAAACCCTCAAATCCCCAAAGTCCTCAGGTTTCTGTGTCCTACAGGTAGAAGCTGGAATATTCAGCATCCTAGCATATGCAGAGAAAGAAGGAAAATATATTTTTAAATATGAGTCTGCAGCTGAGAGACTACTACTATATTATATATTGATTAAAAATTTAAGACGCACAGAGTTTGGGGAAATACTAAGCTTCATTTCAATTACATTAGATATTTTTGTTGTGCTTCGATTTTTACAAGGTTGATTATATTGCAAATTTTGCATTTTTATGTTTTCTTAATCTTTCAAGAATAGACTTAACAGTAGGTTCTAGTTTCCTTTCTGTTTTCTGTTTTCTTTTACTGTGTTCTGCTTTTCTTTCATGCTTCACTCTATCTTCAACTTGACTCAGAGTACATGTGACCAAACTGAACTGACCAAGTCTGTTCCTATCAGTGTCAGTAAACAAAAGTATCTGAAATTCCTTCACAAGAAATCTATTTCAAATAGGAATGAAATCAAACATCAGACTAATAATAGAGTTACTGATGGCTGTGAAGTAGATGGGGACACAGGCATGCAAACATGCATCATGCATAATGAAGGCCAGGAGGCTGCTGCAGATGTAAGCAGAGAAGTGTCTCTTGAACAGCACCCTGAAGATAGTGAGAAATGTGAGGACACAGATGTTTCCAGGGAAAGACTGAAAACCAAAATTATAGCTGAAGCTGGTAAAGAGGACTGCGGTGAAAAAGAAGAAAATATAACCCAACCTGAAAATGGAAAAGTTAATGAGAAATGCGAAGAAGAAGAAGAGAGGAAGCAAGAAATCTTCAAGCAATCAAATGTGGATGAAGAGGAATGTGTAGAAGAGCCTGATGCTGATAAAATGAGCTGCAATCAGTCTGATTCAGGGGAACCTCCTAATCAAGCTAATGACTGTGAAGCAGAGAATATAAATATGAATAATGAAATGAATCAACACACTGCAGAGAATAAACAGGAAAATGGCCGAGGCTGTACAGAAGGGGTTGAAACTATCCCAGAATTTTGTGAAATGCCCGAGGTTTGATACTGTAGTGACCCTCTAGCATTTCTTCAGTACAAATAATTTAGAAATAGAATAGTTTGATCTTGATTAAACAGTGCTTTCCTGTGCATGGTCTGCAGGGATATTAGAGTACTTACCAAGTGGTCCAGAAAGCAAACCTTATACTTTCAGGATAGGCATGCATGTCAGCTCACAAGTAAGCTACTGTCAATTCTAAAATTTTGATCCAGAGACTATCCAAAGATACATGGAGCTAACTGATATCCTTCATTCTTTAAGAGATTTATGATCTGTTATTATTTACACCAAGAAAAAAAAAGGCTTTAAAGAAGCAAATACTTGATTCCTCCAATTAGCGATAAAGTAATGAATCATACAGTTAATTCCCAAATTACATAAGTAAAAAATACTGATTATTAAATTATTAAAAGGTTTTTCTTTTTACTAGTCAGAGTAAATTTATTGTATTGCTGTGATTTCAGTTGGCATTATAAAGTATGCAGAGCCATCTTTGTGTAGTTGAAATCACTACCCTCCATGGATAAAAACTTAGGATTTTGGGAACTAACAGATTAAATGGGAATGACATACTACTGTTCCTGGCTTGCTCTCTGATCCATTTGACATAATTGAAATTTCTTATGACGTATGTGCTACCTGAAAAACTACCAGAGTATGCTCTTAAAATTAGATACTGTTCCCAGGTACAGTGTCACAGCTTACTTCATTCAGTAACTTCTTTATCTTTTAGTCTTTGAGGTTTACCTCTACAGAATAGTTTGAGAAGTAATTTTGGTTTGACAAAATTTTTACTGGTTTATACTGATTTGTAAACTTCCCTTAAAGGTTAAGCAAGTTAATGAAATGTAAGAGAAGGTGTTAAAATCAAAGCAGATTAGATCAAAACTGGAAATAATATTGTCTTGCTTCATTTCTGCGAAAAATACTAGTTCTTTGTTGCTCTTAATCAGCTACAACTGATAGTTGTACTGAATTACATTACCACTTAATAATATCTTTTTCCTCTCTTTTCTCAAGACATCAGGAATAAGATCAGGTGATCAGTATCTAAGAGAACAAGAAGTTTTAAAGGAGAATTTCAGATTGTCATCTGAAAACATTGAGCTAAAATTCCAGCTAGAGCAGGCCAATAAAGATTTGCCAAGACTAAAGGTAACATCATCTTACTTTAGTCCCTTTACCCTCACACAGCTCAGAGAATTGCTTAAAATAAAATTGATATTTTTTCTGTACATACTGTAAATTTTCCATGTTTTTACATGAATGATGAGAAGGTTGAATATGGTAGAATGGTAGAAATAATGGAAAATGTCATTGTGATGGGAAATTGCTTTCTCCTACATTTTTCAAGTAAAACCACTGTTATTTTGTTCACCAGTTTTTCACTTCAATTTGAGATCTAAGTTGCTTATTTTTTTTTTTTTTTTGTTTGTAGGACCAAGTAGATGACTTAAAAGAAATGTGTGAACTTCTCAAAAAAGAGAAAGCAGAAGCTGAACGAAAGCTGGGCAGCATTAGAGGGGTGAGTATCTTAACAGCACTTTTCATCGTAAGTAAATTGAAACAAAATACAAAAAAACCCAAAGTATTACTGAAATGAAATAATTTGGAATCAACCAAAGCCAAACACGAATTGCTCTTGTTTATTGTATTGACAAAATGCTATAATGAATTAATGACCTTAAGTTAACAGGAGCATTAGAAGGACTAGAGCTAAACTATTAAATATTTGCACTATCATGGCCTTGCCATTTGGATTGGTTACCTTCAGAAGCATATTTGTACAATAAATAGCAGTTACAGCAGTAATAATGAAAATTATATTCATATGTTTTTGTAAATTTTTTGATGCAGATGTAAAAAGGGTCAGTTACTATTACTGAAGGTTTTTGTTTGTTGTACTATGGAAGGTGACACAGCAAAATTTTACCCTAGCTACTGTCAACTACTTTAATAGAACAATATTTCCAAAGTTAAGGGGAAAAAATACTCAGATGTGTGTCTCCTGCTGCTCACTTATCAAACTATTTGTGTGACCTTGTAAAGAAAGCTGAATTAATAGAAGCTCCTAAGTGCCTCTGTAGCTCTTTGTAGCTCTCTACACAAGGAGAATGAGTTTTACTTTGGGGTACCTGAAAAAGATCAGATATTTTTCATTCTTTTACCCATGCTTTGCACAGAGTGCTTGTATACTTGTCTCTCTTATGCAGTGGTATTCTTGGACAAGAAAATTCAGTTTATACAACTGTTTCGCGCAAAGATTCTGAGGATACAGCAAATTTTGCATCTTTCTCCATTCACAGGCAGAAAGATGTGACAGGTTTTTCTTTAACTCTGCTGTGTGCTGACACAAACCTCCTAATCCCTCCAGTTATTTTAGAGAAGAAAAATAGGTAGTTTTTACTTCTGAAATTTGGTTGCTATACATTTATGTAGAAGTCTAGGGAGTAAATCCTCCCCATTTTCCTTATGAGGTACCTTATGGCCCCTGAACTAGAATCAGCAGTATCTTTAAATTATGATTGCTGAGGAAATTGTTACAAAGAGGATGAGAAAAAAAATGGATTTGAAGACTCCCTAACAGATTTTCTAACTCATTATTTAATGTAGTGAAAGAAGAAAAATAGGGAAATTACAGTATTTTCCCCCACATTTATTTATTTATAATTTTGCAAGAAAAATATATGCCTTTGGAAAGGCAGATCTACTTATGCTTTAATATGTAGTTCTTCTGTCACTTTAATTCAGCAGAAGAAGGGTTGCTAAAAAAGAGCCTTCTTTTCTTCCCTCAAGCTCCCAGACATTTTTCCCCTGTGCCCCCAACGGTATTAGTATTTAAGCAATTGCATGGTCCGTTGGCTTGGGGAATTTTTCTACAAGAAAAGCTAAATAAATTAAGTAGTTCTTTGATTTATTTTCCTAATGTTTCAGTTTAGTTCATGAGTACAGCAGATTTTGAGACTTAACTGCAGCTCTTTAGGGTAACTTAGAAAATGAAGGAGTTGATCTGTTGACTTGGGGTATTAATAAATCTTCAGATGTTTTGGAGAGCTAAGTACGCAAGAAATTCTAGTGTTCAAGTTGTATCAAAATAAAGCATTTTTTTATATAAGTATGAATTGCAATGGGAAAATAAGCAATAATGTAAGATCTGGAGTATCTCAGAATGTTAAGATGATCTATTTGTTCACTTTTACTTCTTTCCTTTCCCTCTCTGTAGGCTGGTAGAAGTGGAAAGACAGTCCCAGAACTGGAAAAAACAATTGGCTTGATGAAAAAGGTTGTTGAGAGAGTCCAAAGAGAAAATGAAGAACTGAAAAAAGCTCCAGCTGTGGTTTCTAATGAGAAATTACTTGGTCTTGAGCAGGAAAATGAGAGGCTAAAGGTACAGATTTGTCTCCAGTAACTTTATTTAGGTAACAGTTTATATGCAAGGTAGTAACAAAATGGAGAAGCAAGCCTGTTGATACTGATACTGATTGGCACAAAACTGTTTTGGAAATGCCAGCTATGAAACATATAGAACAGAAAGGCAAAACTGCATTTTAGTATAACATACTGCACAGTTTAAGGTACATCGTACCTTGCAGATACATTTAACTATGTGATGAAATGTTCACTGTGCTAAGTACCTGTGCTTTAAATGGAAATCTAAAATCTTCTACTGAGCAATGTAAATGGGTTTTAACAAACTGTTTAATCTTTAGTCTGAAATGGAAAAAATGAAACTTGAGCTGGAGGGCCAGCTGAGTGTGCGTTTTGAGTCTAAAACCAAAGCAACGGAAAAACTCATTACTGAAAATGAAAGACTGCGTAAAGAACTGAAAAAGGTATGATCATTTTGATGCATCCCTTTATTTCCACTAGGCACTGGTTATGGTAAGTATATGGTTTTTACTTTTCTTAATGGTTGATATAACACTGATATGGCCATGACAGTTTTATTTTACTATATGTGGAAAGGAGATATCCAAGGACTAGCCCAAGATCAAATTTGGAAGTTGTAGTTCTAGTAGTCTTTGATGCCATTTTCCTCTACATCAGCACTCACCATCTCACTGTCGTTTGAGATAATACCATGCTTCATGTGCGGTTAAGTATTCCATAAAGCTTTGCTTTTATTGAACAATAGGAAGCTGACAGTGGAGAGAAGCTACGAATAGAGAAGAATAACTTGGAGATATTAAATGAGAAATTAAATGTACAGCTGGAGGAAACCATTAAGAAGTTAAATTTGGCTGAGAGCCAGCTTGATGGAGCTGACAGCAGAGGCTGGAAGTCCATTGTAACAAGGTAGGAATTGGGAATGTAATAAAAGGAGAGAAAAATGATAAAATGCTTATGCTATTAAGAGACATAACCTGTGTCCTGCGTAAGGATGGCAGAGAGCAAATTTTTGGTAATAAATACTTAGTCCCGGACTCCTGGATGACTTCAGGGTGAAATAAGTTGACGTGTTAAAAAGTACTCTTTAATAGTGGTAAACAGAAATGGAAGGTATCTACAAAATCAGAACCTCTGACAGAAAACTTATTAGGTCAGAAAATCAGCTGGACAGGAGAGAGACTTGTTTAATTTTATCTTAGGTCAGAACACTGTTGATATCCAAGATTTTACTCCCTTCCCGGTCTTGTGCTCCCACAGGATCCCTTGGGGAGTCTAGTGCTACTCTGACACGTTGCTGAGCCATTTCTTCATTGAGACTTCAAAAAGCATTTTGGTTTTTTTTTAACCTTCCCCCAAACTATCCAGTGAGGTAAAATGTCTCTATGCAAGGCCAGATGAAACCATAATTTGTCTAAGGAAGGAGGGCAGAACTGACTGCAGGACAGGACAGAAGTAGCTGATTGCCACAGCAGAGAGAGGCTATGAGCATGCAATGAAGATAGTAGGCCCTTAACAGCTGCCATATTGGTTCAGCAGTATTCTTCTTCACCTCTTTTCAAAAACATTTCTACTTGGTTCTATTTAGTTGAGAGTGATACATAGTTGTGTATAGATACAAAATACATGGTCACATTTAATTGTACTTGCCTATTTCAACTCATGCGACTATAGCCTTCTATTTGCATTTACTTTAAAGTAAGTTAATAACATAACCTTACTAACCTAGAGCTCCTTGGGGAACTTTAACATGCAATGCACCTCACCAGCACAACTACCAATGCATATACGTGGTAACACAAAGTGTTTCATAGGGCAAACAAAGGGCTCTCATCCCAGTGACCCTTCAGAAGACTCCTTGGCAGGTAGAAAGGTGTTGGACACTGTATTGCTATCTGAAAATCCAGTTGGATTCAGATAGGAGACAGGGCTACATGACCTCCAGAGGTACTTTCCAACATTTCAGATTCGACACAAACCTTTTTGTAGCCTTGTAAAGCTCAAAGCAAAATGGAATCTTCCTCAGACTGCTCTTCCTCCAGGGTAAACAATTTACTGCAGATTAGTTTGGCCTTGGAGTCTTCATCTTCTGCATCTGCATTAGTCCTTTTCTCAGTACATTATTTTTCATAAATTACTAAATCATTAGAAAAATACTTTCAAAGGTGTAACACTGAAGTAAGATCCAACTAGTGTACACCCTGCATCAGCAGCATGGATCCTTTCAGCAGCAGGTGTTTGGGGTTTATGCGCAATAGCATAAAAATGTTCCTGTCCCCTTTTAATAAACGTAGACACAAAAAGAGAACCACAACAGTATAATATCTAGAAAAGCCTTTATTCTAAGATTAAAGATGTGTTTCTTGCTATGCTTCTTTCAGCAAACTGTGTTTATAAGGCCAGTGGTTATTTCAAGGCCAGTGCCCCAAACATATTTTAGGGTGTATTTTACAGCATTTATTCTCCTAAAGATATTTTAATCTCTGTTTCTGCATAAGTATTAACTTCCACACTTATTTTTCTCTAAATAAAAATACTGTCAGAATGCAGGAAACTAAGTTGAAGGAAATGGAAACAGATATTGCTAAAAAAACCCAAAGCATTGCTAACCTTAAAAGGCTGCTTCAGGAAGCAACAGAACGTGAGCACAACGCTGATAAAAATTTACAAGACCTGAAAGAACAAGTGAGTAAAATTTAGCTAGATAACTCTGGAAATAGAATGCTTAATTTGTCTTTGTAATAATGTCTGTAGTGGCAGAATACTTGTTTTTTTTCTAATCCTTTCTTTTATAGCTTTTTTTCCAGTCATAGTTGCTATATTTGCATATTTTAGCCAATTAATGAGGTTTACCACATATTATCAGTACATATTCTTGATTTGCAGTCTGAGGAATATGATTATTTTTCTACTGTATTTTTCTGTAGGAGTTTTTTATTATAGTTTCAGTGATCACATGAAAGCCTGTAGATAGATGCTTCAAAAGGTCTTAAATCTTTCAAGCTTGTTTTGCAGTGAGGCTGCTGCAGAGACTTCCCTATTCCCTCCAGTTTTGGTGGGGGGCAGGAAGGAGAGTACTGAGTTCGCTATCCTAAATAGGATCCTCATTTCTATTTCCAGTCTGGTCCCTTACATGCAGTCTCCAGTAGTCTTACAAGTACTATTGTATGTATGGAAGAGTTGATGAATTTTAAACTTAGATACCTTTTAAAAGATGTATCACCTTTTGGCTTTTAAGTACAGAGGTGCAGTCCTATAATTGCCCCTACATTAGCTTCCATCTTCTCATTTATTTATATGCAGACGATTTTCTTCCCCAGACAACTTGTACTGGCCCTTCTCAGTGTAAGGTATCAAATACAAAACTTCTGATTTGGAAAGTCATAGATATATATATAAATATATATATTTATATGTCTACATATTATATAAGAAAGTAGATGTGTTCAGTAACAGAACTTGGAATTTATTCCTATAAAACAATTACTTTCTTAGTTTTTCCTTGTTTTTCCTTTTCTAACATCAGTGTTATTAACATGAAGTATATACCAGCAGTGAATTTAACACGGAGATAGAAGTCTTTCATTTTGTGATATTACTCTGGGAGCAACACACTTTCCAGTTTCTTTCATGTCTCAAGTACTGATAAAGGGATGAGATCAAAGTTAACTACGTTTCAAAAAACAGAGCCTGATTGTGTAAAAAAAACCCAAATCCTTAGCCTGTTAGGTAGTAACAGAACAAAAAGCTATCATTGTCAGTAGCCTCATACGAGCTCATGAACTGTCACTGCATTCATCAACTGTATATAATCACATATTTAAACCACTCTTGTGCCTGCATCTTTACCAGAAGTCTCTTTCAGAGGCTCCCTCCCTCTCTAGTTAGGGACCTCTTCTAACTTAACTTGCAGGTCACCCCAAGTCACTGTACCCTCACTGGGGCTGTCATTACAAAAATCACAGGGTTTTCATACAATCTTTCAAAATGAACTGGGACACCCAAGTATGCAAATAACCATATCAGTAATATTTTTAAAGCATTTAAATAATTTAGGCATATTAATTCCTTAAGCATACGTATACGTTGCTTAAGGACGTTGGTGTAGCTATGTATCCAACTTTCTCTGTAAATCTAACTTCTACTTTTTTCTTTGCCCTTCATTAAATACATAGCAATGATTTTACTAACTTTGGAAAGACTGTCAAGCATTAGCTTTGTGTGTGGGAACTGTACATGAACAAGTTTTTTTTTTTTTTTCTGATAGCTTAATGTTTGATTACATCCTTAGTATTATTTTCAGTCTTTTTTTAATATTGTATCCAAGAGAACTCTATTTGAACTGCAGGGCCATGTATACTGTTTGCAAGAATAAAACTTTGTTAATTTTTCTTTTAAGATTGAGCATCTCAAACATCTTCCTGAAGGTTCAGGGTCAGAGGAAAACATCATCAAGGAACTTCAGCTTTTAAGGTAATGTACTTCTAAACTAAGTATCTCAGCTAATATACATGAAATCAGGAAGTGACCAGAAGATCAGAAAATGACCACTGCAATTTTTAGTTAAATATTTTGTTTTAAAATATTGAAATAATTAAAAAAAAAAATCTATTTTTTTAATATTCCAGATTAACTAATAATCAATTAGAGAAAGAAAAAGCAGAACTAGTGAACCAGATGGAGGATTATAAGCATGAAAAACACAATTCTACAAATGAAGGTCCTGCAGCTGGTAATAATTTTCAATACCTAAAGATCTTCTTGTATTTAGGGTCTAAAACTACTTTGACTTAATATGTGTGTGCAAAGTGATAATAAATCTACAGCATTATTTGAAGTAGATTAATGCCAAAGTTGTGTAAACTGAAGCAGATTAAGGTCTTGGATTTTTGAGTACATATACAAGCTTTTTGAAGAAAATTTTCAATAAAAATCTCCATCATCAATTACTTCGAGCAAGAGGCTGTAAACTAGGAACCAGACACCACTGCCTAATTTGTAAAAGAACTAAGGAAAAGTCCAGCTGACTTTAATGTTTGGTGATCATAAATGGTTTTATTTAATTGTTTCAGCTTTCAGGAGATGCAGAATTATTGAAACAAGATTATATGTGCCATGGGTTTCCACTACTTAAAATTTAATTTAAAAAAATCATTATTTTTGCAGGACATAATGAAACTGTAGAGAAGGATAAAATTGATAAACTAATGACAGAAATGGCTGACCTCCAGTCACAGCTGGAAGTTTCAGAGCTTGAAAAACAGCAATTAAAGGTGAGCTGCAAGGATCATCCTAGGCAAGATAATAAGCAAAATTATGTTGAGCTAGAAAGAGCTGTTTAATAGCTAAATTAATATTTAATGATACAGTCAATTTCTAAGCATTGTTTAGAAAGCCTGTTTTTAGTGAAGATGCTGTTTATGGCTAGAGTTTTTTGCTTCTAGACAAGATCCTTATTCTCTTATCACATAATCCCTCATGAAAAAGGCAAAAAAAGGTGTGGTATTAGCAAAGTTCTGGATAAAGGTACTCCTTTTCATTCTTTTCAATAGGAAGAGACAAAAAAGCTAAGAAGAGAACTAGAAACCTATAGTCCTTCCTTTTTTGAAGAACTTGAGGATCTGAAATATAACTACAAAGAAGAATTAAAAAAAAATATTATCTTAGAAGAGAGATTGAAGCACCTTTATGAACAGTTTGGCATTCAGAATAATCCAGGCAACAATTCTATTGACTGGGGTAGTGTTCAGTATCCTCATCATTGATAAACACAGACAATTTCATTTTTTGTATCTTCGAACTGTACAAATCTCTTGAAGTTATGTGAGTTTGCACACACCTAAGAGCGCAGAATTGGATTATTCAACAGTTCATGGTCACTATACACAACAATCAAAATAAAAGTGAGTTTTACCTGTCCCAGCTCCTGTGCAATAATGTATTTTAATTCAGAATGGTTAATTTGGGTAATAAGGTGTCAGGTGAAATTGAAACCTTGGGTTTCTCTTAGAAGTTAATAAACCCTTAAACTGTCAGCATACTAAGTATGCTAAGTCCCAGATCAGTAAGAATACATAATTTGCTCTTGTCCTGTGCAACCATAATGTTTAACTCCGAACTCAGGGTCAGTGTGCTAGATGTGTGTTTTTACATCCCTGGTTATTTTTACCTCAATGTTAAAAAATCCAAGAACAAAGAACTGAAAATGAAGCTATACTATTTCAGCCAAAACACTGGGATTTTTGTACATATTTGTTTTTTTTTTTAATATTGCTGGATGTATACTTTTATAGCAGAGATGAAATAAAGCCAACTCAAATGATCATTCAGTCTCTCCTTTATTATTTATATACCTTATCTTAATATGCCTTTGATGAAGTTTCCTAATTGAGACATAGTTGTAAATGGGAATTACTAAACCAAGTCATGTCTCTCTCCACTTACTAGGCTCTCCAGAATAAAAATAGCTTATTTTCTATTATTTACTCTCTTTGTCCTGAAATAGTGCAAGTGCCTGGAGGATATAGGTTAATTGGGTTTTTAAATAATAGTATAATGCTGCAGATATACAGTTAAATGATACCAGGAAGTTTTCCCATGTAAGAAACTTTTACAACTTTAAAAAAAAATGTCAAATTTTAGGACTAATTCTGGTCCCACCTGAAATATGTCCTTCTACTGTTAAGAAATTTGATACTAAGTCTCAAACCTACATACAATAGTGTCATAATAATTACATTTGTAGAAGCACAACCTATGTAACTTTTCCAGTAGATTGCGTTAATTAGTAAAGCTTTTAGGACCAGCCAGCAGTAGAAAACATACATCTTACACTCAATGCTAACAGTTTCCAGGAATGGGTTCAAAATTAAGGACTTTTCATAAAATAAACATGCTGGAAGGTAGATCTCTGTTATATAAAATTAGTCATTTAGGATAAACTTAAATGATACAGTAGTACCTGGGCTGTTGCCTAAGCTAGAAGACTATTCATGAAGAATTCTGTGGCAGACACAAGTAAGAGTAATGCAGGACATACAACAATTAACTTAAAAGAAAAAAAATCATTTCAAGCATCAAACTTGATATCTTTGAGTCTGTCAAATCTTTGTCCATCCAACACTGAAAAATGGTAAAACAAACTCTTTGGTTCAAAGTCACAGTCGTATTTAGTTCTGTTAAAAGAAATTACAACAGGCTGAGAATTCAGGTATGTCTCTGCAAGTGGCCAAGGTAAACCAAGATGATGGCGATGGAGCTAAAAGAAAAGGAAAGAAGATAATTTCAGCCATTTTGATAGAGTAGTGCAACAATTTCCAGCTTGGGAAGTGTGTGGGTGTTTGTGGATTCTAGGATCCTCTGCATCATGGCACTTAAAACCATGAATAAGTTATCTCTGTAACATGAAAAACAGCAAAGCACAAAAGGCAAACCAGAACCAAGGTGTCCTCCACAGTTTCAGAAATAATACAAACTTGCTAATTAACGAAAAATCACATTCTTATTATTAATACTTGTTCTATTAGTCAACATTATGAGAACTCTATTTTTAAATACAAGAATTAAGCTTTAAAACGAATGCTGCCTGTACAGACAGGCAAGAAAATATGTTCTCAATTACTTTGTTAGCATGTTGGGAATGAAAAAGTTCAATATGTTATGTTGTCATTACAGTAGCTAATTCTACTAATGTCATCTCATTTGTTGGAGATTTACTCATTTACTATTAAAGAATTTGGAAAAAAAAAAAAGAAAAAATGAATACAGTACTTCACATTTTATGAATTATTACAGTGCTTTCCACATATCCATCCACATACTTACCTTGATTAAACACCCATCATGGCAGTGCCACACAATTCCTTCAACTTTACCCTCTGTGCAGCTTTCAAACCAAGACAGTATGTCATTTTGCTTCAAAGCAGGTGGATTCTTTATTTCAAATGCTCCATGTGGGACTAGAAGATGTACAGGGTGCTTCTTGCTTCCTAATCCTACATTTAAAAAAACAAACACCTTCCTCCTAGTTACTGTGTTTCCTCACTTTTGTTATTGCAGATATCTTAAAAGCACTCTGTAAAGGTAAACTTCTATTAGATACTACAACATTATCCTGTCTTTAACAGAACAGTTAATTACATTTTTAAGTACCAAATGCAACTGTCTCTCCTCACGTTTTCATTTATATTTTTTAAAACCTCCTCCTCCTTTGTATAAAATAAACATGACACACAGATTTATAGAGTTGTCTGTTTTTAACTTGTGGTTACCTCCTCAGTCACCATAAAGCTACCAGCTAAATCCATCATGCTTCAGATCATGATCAATGGCACAAACACCTTAGTTCCTGAAAATCTGGCATATCTCCTCATGAATACTTAAAACTGGGCTGTTAACAACTGCATTGCCTTTTCATGTTAACATAAATCTTCATCTAAGAACACAGCTATTAGAACTTTTTATTGCAATTCTTGTCCAAACTGAAGAAATGCTTAGGACCAGGTAGGACTATTTTTCCTATTCATCCTTGCAAGTTATCTTAACAGCAAAGCACAGAAGTTAGAACTCACTTGTGCTCATACTTAATTAGTTTCTCACTATAAGGCCTTTAAAGGAAGGAGCCACAACTTAAATCTAGCCTAAATTACATTTCCTTTAAAAATTTCCTATTTCATAATTTAAAAATTGCAACTTCTGACTAACTTTAGGGGCTCCAAAAAGTGGTTGAATAAAGCTTTCTACTTCAATTAATCAGAAGAGTGTGTAAAAAGAGTGAAGGTTCCAAGAAACAAACTTTAAAAATTTTACTAATATTTTAATACTAATATTTACAACACTTTTCTCCAGTCAAAATATTTCTGAAAGACCAAAGCAATGCATTTTTATAGTAACTGAGATTTAATAGACGTAATTAGCCCCATGATAACTCAGCTTTCTAAACTGAGTATTTTTGGGTGAGAGTTCCTTCAGCCAGCCCTTTATCTCCTTTCTATGAAGGTTGCTACTGGAAAACTCTTAAAAAACTTACACAAAGAAAATGCACTGATTTCACTCAAAAATACCACTAAAGAAAAAAAAGTATTTAAGAACAGACCATATAAACTTACCATATGGATTTGCATTGATATTAGTCCCAATAAGCTCCAATGTTTGTTCTAAAATTTCTGATAAAGGCACGGGACTGATTTCCAGAAGCCCTGGGTCAGCATGGTGTTTCAATACCAGTGCTATTCCTGCCTCATAATTTACAACAGATGAGTGCCAGCAATACTGCTTACTATTCTTCTCCACGGGCACCCAACCTATGAGAAAACACTACATTTCACCAAAGTAAATACTAGAAGCTGTTACATGCATTAAAAAAAACAACCTACAGTTAAGTACAAACAGAAAGAGTAAAAAGAAAAACTGCTGTATCTCAGAAGAATGCAAATGTGCCAATTATGCCTTCAGCTGAAAGCCTGTGAGTTTGTACAGCAAACTGCAATTATTTCCATGTGTCAGAAGAACAAAGCCTTTCTGGATAGTCAACGAATGACGTTCCAATTTTTTTTTTTTCTGAATATGTTAAATACTACTTTTAACTCTGGAACTAATTCTAATTCACTTCAGAAATTCACACACACCTTTCCCCAGTTTTACCTGTGCTGCATCATAGGTACCTGGCATATGTCCATTTTCATCAGGCAAAGGATTGCCATTAGAGAACTCTATGTCCTTTGCTGGAATCCAGGTATCTGGAACAGGCTTGAAATCCTCTTCAATATTCCAGACAAATTCTAGACATATAAATGCAATACTTTGTTTTTGGCGAACTGTTAACCAACTTTGCTTTGTTGTCTTTCAATGCAATTATCAAAATACCACTGATTTAAACCTTGTTTTATAGACAGTAATCCCAGTTACTTTGTACAAATACCATCTGTCACACTCAAGTGGTCTACAATTAGGGTAGTTTAAAGACGCGTTCAGCCTTTAAGAAATTTAAAGGTTCAAAATTTAAGATTCAAAGGTTCAAAAATTAAGATTAAAAAATTATTCCAGTTTAAAGTTTTTCAATGTAAAGGGTGAGGTTAAAAAAACTGGAACAAGGATCACTGATATTTCCCATGTTAGCCTAGTTGTTTTTCTAACTGGCTAACTTATATTGTCAAAAAGAAAGAAAGAAATCTTCACTAACCTTTGCAATCTTCCAATGAATACAAGAATCGTTTAAACCTTTTTTCACCTTGTTTGGTGGGTTTTCGATCCAACCTGGCCCATAGGTAGGGTTGTCCTAGGATTTTCCAAAGATAAAACCAGCATTTTACTGAGGTGACCATAGCCTGCAAAGTACTGAAATCAACTACATAACAGGCAAGATAGGAATTCCCATTTGCCACTAGAGAAATTTTATCAGCAAAGCCACCCACTATTTAAATTCAAAGTACACTATGTGAATTTTCAAATCCATTTTAGATTCTACGTACAGTCTTGCCTAGTGTAATACAGAGCTTCCTTACAATGCAGGTGAAGGCACGAGCCCCAGTGAGTCAATGAACCACAGTCTTCTCATTTCCTCTCAACCTCTGTACTTCTGTACATCTTCCCCAAAGAAATTAGACACCATTATACCTGACCCAGTTTGCAAGGAAACTAATAGGAAGTTTAAAAACTGGAATAGTTCCTGGATGTTCATATTCACTTAAATCACACTTCATGTATTTTAGAGAGTAAATGCTAGAACAACTCTAGAAACACCTTCTAAGTCTATGGTAACTATTACTTTGTGGTGAAGATGCTTAATGACACTTGAACTCACAACAGTTGTAAATAAATCATACAAGAAAAGTAAAAACTAAGAAAAACAAGTTCTAGTCAGCATGAGAAATCTGCAAATGGGTCTTTCTGATTACCTTTATACGTCGTTACATAACAGCAGGTTCCATCCACTTTTTCAGTAGGAACTGCATTGTGTACATCTGCCTCTAATGCCTTTCCAGTTATAGTGTCAGTTGCCAAAACTTTAAATGGCTGAAAAGAAGACAAGTGGCTATGTTACTGCCTTGCTGTCATACAGATTCTTGCTCCTTATAGTTGGCCTCTCTAAATCTAGCTCTTTAAGTATTACACATTATAGAGCTGATTTCTAATAGTTTCTTCCAAACCTGATAGTTTGCAATGTACTCTTAAGACAGAAGAACCAGGTCAATCTGTTTGTAAAGTCTCTTCCTCTTTCCCATTCTTGATTATTACTTAGAGATGACTTTGCTTTCCACTCTAAACAGGGCAACAGAACCACTTCTATAAACTAGAAGTGTTCCAGTCCAACACTGCAGCATTTTGAGATCTACCTTCCTGCATTAGGGTGGCAATAGAAATTCCTCATGACAGGCCTTCCCCAGCTTTCAGTTTGGAGATGAAAGTCTATAGTGGCACGGTAGTGCAATACACAGAGCAGGTGGACTCTTGCAAGGTAGAAAAAGCATCCTTGTATTAAACACTTAGTATCACCGATGTCAGCTAAGCACTTTTGTGCTTCAAAAGAGCAAAGAAATACATGATCTGTGGATATTAAACAAAAAGCGAACTAGTACAAATTTCTAAGGCTTCTGTACAGCTTCTCGAACAGTTTCACTGCAAACATACAATCAGTTGTGTTTGGATTCAAATTTTTTTCTCTTCTAATCATCATACCTCTCTTCTCTCCTCAGTCAACTTTGTCTTTTAATCTGGACTCTTTATGCTAGCAAAACACAAAACAAGTCCTTATATTGCAGAAGTCTTGAAACAGAACATGGAATTCATAAAAGAACCTGTGTTACATGACGTGACTGTTTCATACTATAGTTATGTGTAACCATAACAAACAGCATATATTAAGATAATATTTAAAATTTCAGAGTAGTGAGAAAACATTCCCATTGGTTTTACCAGCACTACCACTCTTTCTTCCCTACCAGTCATAATCACATTTTATCCTTGCCTGAACTTTAAAAACCAAAACAAAAACCAAATCAAAGCAACAGCACAAAAATAAAAAAAAACAACAAAAAACCAAAACCAACCAAACAAAAATAGCATGTGCCAGTTCCAGATCTAATACCCTGTTAGGTTTTTCTCTATGAAGAATCAACAGTGTACAGAGGTACCCTTACATTACCATTATTGAGATGGTTTAACTCTGAGTTGAACAATTACATTACTGTCGTTTTGGCAAACATTTCAGCTCTTTCATCCAGAAGCCAATCACCAATGCAAAGTCACCCAGAGCTGCATTCAAGTTCACTACGCAGCTGCTACTAAAATCAGGGAACACAAACTGGAGGTCTGCAGCTAGACAGGCGAGTGCCGCCCCAATCTGTCCACATCTCACAGCCTCATGGCCTCATGTTTTTTCTGTCATAAGCCTGATATTCAAAATAGAAAAAAAAAAAAAAATGAGGGGGGGATACAAGCTACTTTTTCCTCCTACGAGGCTCACAGGCGGGAATGGCAGGATGGTTTCACACAGGCACAGGCTCCCCGTACGGTCATGCTGGAGTGGCCCTCACTGAGAAAAAGCAAACACAGCATCAGGGTGAACACCTGTATGTACTTGCCAGGAAAAGCGCGGGGCTGAGCTGATACGGCACTCAGACGGCCCTTCTTCCCTGCATTCCAGCGGGAGAACCATACGCAAACCTCTCCCGCGAGCTTCCCTTAAATCTACAACCAACCCTTCTGGCCACTCAGCTGTGGCCGGGGGCTCTGACACGGTCCGTGCTGCTCCACGCCGCGGCCCAGCGATTTTCCCTGGGCTCGGGCCCATCCCCACCTGCCTGCCCCCAGTCCTCCCGTCCCGGTACTGCCCCAGCCACCTGTCGCTCCCGCTTGGCCGAGGGCTCGTCCTTCACCTCGGTGACGAACAGACACGGCACCTTGCGCTGCACCGCGCCCCGCCGCCTCATGGCCCCGGCCGCCCGCTCCCGCCGCTGCCGCCGCCGCGCCTGCGCCGGCCAGGCCGCGGTGCGCCACGGGAAATGGAGTCCGCCGGGGGCGCTGCTGCCGCTGCCGCTGCGCGGGGCGGTGCCGCCTCCCGCCCGACATCAGGCCCTGCGACTCGGTGGATCCGCCCGGCCGGCCCGGCCCAGCCCGACCGGGGGCAGCTGCGCTTTCCCCAGCTCCGGTTCCTGCGAGAGCAGACTCCTGTAGACTCCTGGGTCTATAGGTCCTGCCAGGAGCCTGCTCCGGCGCGGGCTTCTCATGGGGTCACAGCCTCCTTTGGGTGCACCCACCTGCCCTGGCGTAGGGCCCTCCACAGGCTGCAGGTCCATCCCTGCTGCACCTTGGATCTTCATGGGCTGCAGGGCTACAGCTGCCTCACCATGGCCTTCACCACGGGCTGCAGGAGACACTCTCTGTCCCGGCGTCTGGAGCACCTTCTCCCTTTTCTTCTTCCCTGACCTTGGTGTCCGAGGGTTCTTTCTCTCACACATATTCTCACTCCTCCCTCTGACTATTGTTGCCCAGCAGGCTGTAGTATCTTTGTGGTATCAGAGATTTGTTTTTAAGACCACAGTTGCATCAGAAAGAAGTTGGGTATTATTTGAGCTTCACTAAATTGGTTTGTTACATTCCACATTAAAAAACGCACCATAATGGGCAACTCTTTGAAACAATCTGATATTCTGTATTTTACTTGGATGCAATAGAGAGAAAGGAAGATGTTCAGCCTGGACAGGTCATGTAGCAGCATCATGCTGATGTCCCAAGCTGGAGGAGCAGTTGGCAACTGTTAAAATGTAACATTCCATCCTGGCTAACAACTGCTCTCCGTTCAGTTCAACAGTTCAACCACATGGAGAAGGTACCACATGCTTCATTCAACTATTTTTTGCTTTAGCTGCACTATCCACTGAGTTTTATTTCACCTGAAGGTTTGGTATTTGAAAGAAAACTGCTTTCAGGATAAGATGATTTGCCTGACTGCTGATAGCTTTAATTCAAAGAAGTACTTACATTCCACCTGGTAAAAATCCAGGGATGGGTTTAGGGCTCTTGGTTATTCCATCTGTTTTTAAGGGTCAGGGTGTTAGGTGTTAATGCCTGGGAGGTGGACTTTGTGTCTCAGGGGGTAGCCCAATTGTACTGACTACAGTCCAAAAGTTTTTGGAGATGCTGCTCTTAGACATAGCTGTTAATGTCTGGAACTGGGAGAAACCTGCTTCCAAATATTCCAATATTTTCAAGTATGGCCTTGTTTTAATTTTAAAAGTTACTCAGAAACTCATTCTGAAATAACCCCCAACCTGGTATTTACAGTTCTCAGGTGGGATGCCATTCACATCTGGGATGTAAATCTGAGTTTCCATATTCAGGGTAAAGTGCATGAACACTTGCCTCTTTGGACTTGTAAGTTTATCATGTGTTTGAGAAAGATACCTCAAGTTACAAGGATAAGTGAATTACATCATCAGAGATGACGTTAAAAACTCCAAACTCTGATAAGACAGAGATGCAGAACAATGATTTTATGTATGACTGACAGAAGTGACCCACGTTGTGAAAGTACTATCTCTGCAATATTGTGCAAACTTTTTAGCTGATGCCACATTGATCAGTAGAGGGACAGCAGCAGTATGAGTATATATATGAGCAAAGAAATAATCATTAAACAAATCCATTTGTTTAGCCAGAGTATTATTCCCATTAGGTTTTTGTTTGTCATCTTTAAAAACAGCTGAAGCTGAAAGATGGTGTGAGCAGTGTAATAGCAGCAGTGCCAACGTCAGGTCCCAATTTTTTTTTCAGTTTTTGTTGGGAATCTTTCTGGGTTTTGTTTCTTGCCCCATGTTTTTCCATAGATTCATGTCCTTTAATAGTAAGGCAGTACTGGTGCAAGATTTGCACTTGTACAGCACATTTAATTGGAGATTGATATGATTTTTCCATTGTACAGAAAGTAAACTCAGTGACATGCCAATTAAATGACTTAAGAGATTTTTTTTTCCTTCCTAGCAGCTCATGAAAAGTCTGCAGTAAGCAAAGTAGACTGTCTTACCCTTATTCTAATCTAGAAACAATTTTACATCACCAAAGACTGTTTGACCTAACTCAATAACTTTAGAAGTATCTAGAGCTTATGATAAAATTCATAAAAGATAATTTGAAATGTTGTAAACTATAAGAACATGGTCCCACAAAATCTTGGTCATATGTTTATAGCAGTGTGAACTGTCATATATTCAGTCACACAGCATATACTAATCTATTTATTCCATTTTTATTGTTATATTTACAACACCTGAAAATTGTTTTCTCCTGCAGCAAAACTACAGCAAGTTCTCCTGTTTCTGGGAGACAGAGCCCGTAGGCTGTAGGAGGATAAGCTGTGACTTCTTTCACAGAAAACCCCGTAATATAAATGGACTTTATTTGCCACCTAGTAACAGTGAGTAAAAATATTTTCTCAACAATTTGTTCATTAGAGTAATGGAATAGAAAAAAAATGTCCTTCCAGCGCTTATGTAAGGTCAAGAAGTGCACCATGGCAAATCAATCAGGTATGATCTGCTATCCCAGCAAGTTTAAGGGAAAGAAAGGAATTTGAATAAGATTGCCACGTGAATTATTTTAGCTGTCATATTATGAATCTTCATACCTATTAGTGATAAAAAAGATGAAGTCACATTTAGGTTGCTGAGATCCATGGAATAAAAATGTTGCTTAATTTGAATTTCTGATAGATTAAATCTCTCTAGTAGTTCAAATGGTTAGTATGCAGGTCATACTTTTAAGAGAAATCAAAAGTAGTGTGTGTGGTGGGAGGAGGAGGTTTGTAGGGACACTGGTATCTGTTGATAGAGCACAACATGTATGGATGAGATGCCCCTTGTAGATAACATGAGATTCCAGAGCTGTTTGTGCGGATATATTTCCAGTTTGTTGTTTTGAATAAAATTTTTGGTCTTGAACGTTGGCTACATGTTACTGAAGTACAGTAATAATGTATAAAGCAGCACTCTTTTATTTGTAGAAAACTACACCATTACAAGTTGGGTTTTTTCCCTCATCCATTTCTAAGAGGAGCTCTTGGCTACCCGAAATTCTGGTAGACAGCTGGAACCTGAAAATAGGATAAGAGTCCAGGGCAAAGAACAAAGACAGATGTCAGAAGCAGGAGTGAGGAGAGCAAGTCACTGTGAAACCTGGTGTTCCTGAAATTGCCCAGGAAAACATAGCCTGTCATATCTGGGCACGTGGAGCCTAACTAAGAACACAGGATCAAGACAAGACCTGTTTTTCTGAGTGCCCATGCTGCCTTCAGCACAGCTCCCACTTACACAGCACAGGCATGCTTTTGGCTGTGGTGCAAGTCAGAGACTACACAAAAGACACTGTGGGCAAGGGTATCCTGTGTAAGAGCAATGTCTGACAATCACAGCTAGAAAACAGACTAAACCCTTTTACATTTTACTGAAATATGTACAAGTTCAAAGCCTGTGTGCACAATAGCACTGTAAATACTAAACGTGCTTTTTAAATTTTTTTCATTCCTATACTTAAAAATCTTGTTAAACAAATTTAAGTTTGATTTGGTTTATTCTACCTGGAGCTAAAAGTAGCCTGTTCTGAACAGTGAAAAAGCTCCATCAAGTTAGTGTTGTATCTCACACATCTCTCACATGAGATACAACAAATCTGATATGCAACCATGTTATAAGAAAAGGTTTAACATGATACACATGCTGCTCATAGGCAAGCAAGAGATGCACAAGATTAAAAACAACTGGAATAATTTAAAAATGCCCACACTTTCTTTTAGACTGGAAGTTATATCCAACTTTTTATTTTATTTTTAATTTTTTTATTATTTATTTTATTTATTTTATTTTTAATATAATACACAGAATAGTATAGTTGCACGGTAGTCAGCTTGAACAATACCCATAGACACACCATCTTTCATAATTTTTCTTTTTAGTCAATTAATACAATGGCTCTTGGAAAGTGTTATCTCAACACTAAAGCCATTTTGCTGAAAATATTATGTGTGGAGATAAGTTCCTCAGGAAAATAATATATTTTCTGATTTTTTTTTTCTGATTAAGTGTAAATTATTTTTGTGAACTTCAAATTCTCTCACAAAATCTACAGGTTGTACCTAGTAATGAAAGCTGAAATTTAGTTTGATATCAAAATGTATTAAAATTTAAAATGAGCAATCCTATGCTTAACATTGCTAAATTCTTTGAAGAGGATGCTCTAGTGATTGATACAGCATATTTGCAAATTTTTAAAATAGTGCAGTGATGAAAATGTTCCTCTTTTCAAAAGTCTGTATTCAGCAGTGCCCGTGTCCATTCAGAGGAGCTGTCAACCTGGATGTGATACTTTAGTTTCCTTGTAACAAAGTAAATCTAATGTTCTTGTCTGCAGATGTCCCATTGAAACAGGATGTCCAAGGAGGCATTCTGCATCCAGCCCATCGTCAGGACTCACTCAGAAGTCAAGAGAATATTTTAGTACCAATTCACCCTCCACTGATTATAAACCTCAGTGATGAAGAGGATGATGAAGAGGATGATGAAGAGGATGATGACGAAGAAGAAAACTGTAAACAGTTTTTTTTTTCTTTTATAAGCAAGTTGAAAGGATTTTGTCAACTCTTGCAATATACTTCACAACTGATTTGTTATAATAACCATTACATTTTTAGAAAAGAGTTGTTGAAACATTTTTGGAACTAGTTTTCAGCTAATCCTTAAAATGTTGGAATTGGTAGTCACCAGATATGAGCAAGGTAGTATTTTCTAACACTTGTGATCCAATTCAAATGGCCATCAAAAACTATTCAAAATTTTCGAATGAAATTGCAAGTTTAGGAGGTACTTTTTTTCTGGCAAACAAGTGTTTGAACAAGGGCTGTATGCACTCGTCAGTAAAGGTGAAGTCACAAGTTTTTTTACAAAAGATGCTTGTGTGGCTTTAACTTAAGTAATTTTTTCAGCTGATTTACCAAACTGTGTAGGCAGTCTTATTTTTTAAAGAAAGTTATTCTTAAATCTAGCAAAGAGAATTGATGTAAAACTCTCCACTAGCTGAGCTGAATATTTATATATATATATATAAATACAGGTTAATACAGTTAAGCCACTGACTGTATCTCACTTAGAGATAAGACATTCATAGGGATGGAACAAATGACACATTCCTGGAGGGTGACAAGTGAGAGAATGACCTGCTTTCAGGCATACATTCAGCAAATTACTGTGCTGCCCCAGCCTACTTTTCACTTTCCCACTGCCTATCAGGCTGTCTGGTAGACCAGCCTGTCAGTGCTTCCTAACTTGGTTTCAGCCTGAGTATGCCACTTAAACAATATAGAAAGTAGGGCTTCGTTAATCTTCATAACCTTAACTGAGAGAGATCCGGAGCACTCACTTCATCAGCTCTGCCAACAGGCATTACAGGGCAGTAATTTGGGCAGTGGTTTTGTGATAAGCACTCTCTGGTGGGTATAAATGAAATATTATTTTGAAAATGAATATTTGAGATATTTTTGAATATTTTTGAATTAACAAACATTTGTTTATTAAAATGTGTTTTAACTGCAATCCCATCATTGAAAATACTTAATATTAAATCATAATTTTTCAGTCCAAAAGCACAGGTTGCAGTCAAAACCAAAAATAATCAATGACAAAAATAAAAGTCATTATCATATTTTATTATTAAGAATTATTGAAAGTCTGTTTATAGTTATTTTGTAATCTTTTACAAATATTTCCTGCAGATGTTTCTAACTGGATGCCTAAGACTGTTTTAGATATTGAAGAGGAAAGAGCAATAAGGGATATATGCTATAAATCTGGTAAATATGAAATTAATCATTCTTTCCTTGAAGGCAATGCTTCCAATACAGTAAACTTTAGGTCTTTTTATTTTTTCCCCTCTTGGGGCATTTATAGGAGAGTATTATGGGATTCAGAACCCTTACAAACACCAATCGACAAAAACTGTGTCTTCACTGTGGCAAGATGAGTTATTACCCTTGGAAACTACTGAACAAAACTTGCAGAAAGGCAAGTATTTTGATTTCTTTGGACTCTATTTACCACTTCTAAAATTGCTGTAATAGGGAGAAACTATTAAATAGTTTTCACTTCCTCCCCACTTTTTAAATTTCGTGAAAATAAAATATTACAAAAAACATATCTATATTTGTCAGCAAATTACAAAAACACTTCATTCTTTTTTGCCATATATATAGTCACACTCGTGGGGATGTCCTGCATCAGTTGTGGATGGAAAAGGTAGAAATGGGCTACTAACACAATCTGTACTTTCCTGACACATACAATATAGGTATTTGATATAATTTCATGGCAAAGATTTATGTAGTCTAAGTTTAACCATCCTAAGGTTAAGAATGTAGTTTAAATTTCTCATCTAGGCTGTCTGGTGAAAATAGAGAGAAACAGGAGCTCAAATGAATCTCATTTTTATTGAATCACCAGGCAGTGCCAAAGGGTGAGATGAGCCACTTTTCCAGAGGTGTTCCATGATCTCTGCTGGCTATCTTGGGTGTCTTGATGTCAAAATGTAGTGTTAAATCAAACTTTTCTATAACTAAATTTTGATTAAATATCTCCTTAAATTGTCTTGTAAAAGAGAAGAACAAAAGAGTTACATTTTGTTTTGAATTCTGGACTATCTAACATAAACTAATACAAATTTTTAAACATTTACCCCAGTTCTTGTGGTTTTTCATTTATTATTCTCTTCTAATTTCTAAATTTGAAATGTTTGTTATTAAAATAGTTTGGATAAATTATTTCTAACAAATACATAGATGGGAGACTCTATGAGACTATAGATGAGAGACTCAGTGACAAATGTGTGAACATACCCTTTAAGAAGTGTCATTGTTTATCATTAGATGCATAAAGAGAAAAATACAGATATGTTTCCAAAAAACAGTTTTTCTATTGAGTTTTCTGAGGCTTCAGCTACTATAATGATATGCATTCTGAAAATGCCATAAATTCAATTAGATAGGATTAATAAATATAATTAATGGGTAGTGAGAAGCTCATGAATAAGCAGGTAATTTATAGCTGGGTCTTTACTTTGTAGTCATAGTTTTTTAGTCTATGAATTATGATATTATCTTACAGAACATGAAAGATAGACATCAGTTACACTAGATAGGATTCAAATAATAAAAGAGAAAGAAGGTTATGAAATGAGAGATTAAGCGAAATTGCACTAAACTAATCATTGGCTCATAGGGGTGGGAGAGAGTGTCAGTGCCATTACCTGTGCTTACACACAGCTAAACATTCTGTTGCCTTTCCAGGTGATGGTAACACAATTCCTACAAGATTTAATAATACAAGAAAAGAAAAAGAGAGTTCAGAAAGGAGAATATCAATAGAGAGTATTCCCAGAACAGATCAGAAATCCTTTGAGAATGGAGGTAATATACTGTAGCATCAGCTTCTCACTGCCGAACATCATGTGGTAAATAACTAAATATGCATGCATTAAACTTCCCCATTTTGCATTTGAGTTATTATATAGTCTTTATGGTCTAGACACTCTATCTCATGCTGAACTGTTAATTTTAACAATAAAACTCATTGTTTATGGTTATATATTATGCTTATTTTAGGATTGCACAGGACAAAATCCTTTATGCAGATTACAGTTGATTTTGGGAAAGAAAGGGTTCTGTGGAGTTATGAAAAAGCAAGTGTAGAGATGCAGACAAGCTGATTAGAGCCTGGTGCTAGTAGTGCCAAGGACGTGGGTTTGATCCTTGTATGGGCCATTCATTTAAGAGCTGGACTTGATGATCCTCGTGAGTCCCTTCCAGCTCTTATATCCTGTGACTGTGATTCTGTGACTGTCTGAAGTGAAAATGCCTTCAAAAACTGTCACTTTTGTGAGACTATCCATAGTTAAGGTGAATAAGCTTTGTATTTTTCAGTTATCCTACAGAAAAATAACTAAGCTGCAATCCTGCAATTTGTTTAATGGATCTGTTAATCTGTTAAATTAATTTATTTAATGTTAAATATCCCTTTGCATACACTTGCTTGACCATAATGAAAACATACTATTTTGAGCAATTGAGTTCTGCATTGAATCCTGTCATTAAAGCTGAATAATGCCTCATTCTCCTGAATTTCCTTAATACTTAGTGGTATTCAATCCTTTTTTTCATAAATAATTATTAATGATAAAAATAGTAATAATGGTAGTATTTTTTCCCCCCATATTTTCCTATTTGTAGATGCAAAATAGTGCAATACCATGCTAGGGCTGCTTGCTCTAGCTTGGAGCAAACTGATATGTGTCTTCTAGCTCCAGAACTATTGCACAGTAGAAATGTATCTTTTATTCTACATCTTTTCCTGTGACCTTTATGTACAAAAGTATCTTTAGAAAGATAATTTATGTCTGTATATGCTTTATGTCTGTATAAACAGTTACCACTGAGCCACAATTCAATAACTGAATCTCTGTTCACAATTATATATATTTAAAGCTTTTAATAGACTATTTAACAGCTCTGTTTAACAGACCATTTTCTCTAATTTTTGTGGGCCTTATTAAATCAGCTATTTGGTTTCATTGTGTTCATTGTATTTTTCTACTCCAGCTAAAAACATGCCATTTAAAAAGCAGACTCTTTGCATTGTTCACCTTTCTCAGGGTGCTCTTGAGTACAGATAACTTTGTGAGACTCCTTTCCTACAGGAGGTGGTGGTTCTGTGATGCAGAGGAACACATTTGTTGATGGGAACAGATTTGAGGCACTACCTCGGGAAAAGGAACCAATTACGTCAAAGCATCCCAATGTGAAAGGTACTTCATTATTATATATTTGCATATTTTTAGATTAGATTACTTTTGTTCCTCTGCAAGTGTGGTGAACATTATCTATCTTGTGTAAAACCAATCTGAAGTGAAATTTCCATTAACAGAGTGATTTCTTTCAATGCAAGATGACAGCAATTGTATGTTATGGTTTAATTCTGCTTCTTTCAGCCAGTTTGCATCCTCTGATAGATTCAATTATGAGTCCCTGAGTTACTAAAGTCTTTGATACTCACGTTAGATCATGGGGAGTGCTGTGCACTTTCCACTTCAGAAAATAAAACAGATTTGACTGTAGTTAGTATCTCCCAGAACAGAGGACTTAATAAAACCAGTAAAAATATAGTTAAGGAAAGACCGTAACACTTGTGATAAAGTGTGTTTATCAAAAACTAGTCACGTACAGCAAATTAAAATCCCTACACCAACGTATCTTAATGATAAGTTTCATCCTTTTCACAGGAGAATTCCAGAATGTATTTGTCAATGTATAAAATTTTATTGTGAGTACATTGTTATCCAGTTATTTCTTTGCAGTTTTAAAGGGGAAAAAAGGACAGATTTTTGTCTTTAAACTATCCCATAAACTGAAGCAGAAGTTTCTTTTCATTTTCTTTTTAACTTCTGCCAGATTTTTATCTGAAATGAGAGGAACCACAAGTGCTTGTTTACATTAGCAGGAAAAAAGGGAGAGCAAATCCTCATCTTCCCAAAGAGAAGCAGGGCCAGGAAAAGAGCGCTGTGGTTACTGTACAATGCAACTTTCCCAATGAAGTTCTGTTTGTAGTTTGAAGTGGGCTTATCTATGCAACAAGTGCTGTTGCTAATTTATCTCCATCATTTGTAGTATTTTGTTATGTTCATGCACTGCACATGTCCAGGGTGTATCCAGATGCTACAGGTAGAAGAAGTCATTCACAGTTCAGTCAGGCATCCTTTGAAGTGCGTGAATTGGTCTCCATGGGCTCAGCCATGGGTGTTCCAGAGGTCCGCACCTATGCAGTGTAGGGAAAGGATGATCTGATTTTTGAATTTAGAGTTAATCTTTGAGTTGGTCTTCAAGATTTCTTCTGCTAGAGGAGATATAGATACTTCTGCTTTCCTTCTGGGGCATTACACTTTTACAGTAATTAGCATGTGAAACCATGTTCCACCCAAAGGGACCTATTTATGAAGTAGGAGATTATGTTTACAAAACACCACAGTATTCTTGGCTATGAACACTTTTTGTGCTTTCTGAAAAAGTGAATGTGTGTCATTTTAATCCCTCAGAAACAAACCACACTGAACTGGTAAAGAACCACCACTGTAAGGAAGTAAAGGAAAATAAAAGGATTTCTGAGGAGCGAAGAAATTCAGCTAATGCACTAACTGGCAAAGGTATTTTGAAAAAAATCATCAGTTTATTAATTTCTCTTTACTAAATTGTGAGATGATTTAGCACTATCTAGAAAATTTCTGTTTTTAGTGTCAAATATGGACATCCCATACTTGGACTGGTCTATCTTCAAAGCTTATTCAGTCTCTGATTGCCTGCACTATGTGCAATTCTGAATAATAGGACAACCTTTTTGGTTGTATTTTCACTTTTAGGAATTCATACTCCAGACCCCAAAGTAAAACCAAGTTATCAACAAAGGGGTCAAAGTAAGGATGTTGAAACTGCTTCTTTGAGTCCGTATGGGAGAGAAACTGGAAGATACACTCATTTAAATTCTCCAGAACCTCGACGATCAGCTTATGTAGTCTACCGGACTGTCACTCAAAAACCAAAATTCAATGGATCTACAGGTGGGTTTCTGTGTACACAGAATTCTTAAAATGCCTGTTTATATTGTACTGCATTCAATTGGGTCCCTGCAGGTGAATAATAAGTTATTAATGCCTAAATACAACCATGACTAAATTTGATCAAGTATAATTTTCACAAGTAGATTTCAGCCATGTCTGTAGACAGAAATGTAAAGATTTATAAAGCTTTACAATTTGTTGGACAGGATATTCATGAACAATAATTGAGCCACAATTTTTTACATTTCATTGCATCCATGAATTTACAGCAGGAATTCATGGATGCAATGAAGTGGTGATGTGCACAAATATAGTGATCCCCAGTTTTTACAGCATGTCTTATGTGACTTATTCTTTTCAAATATTTAATAAACCTTGAAAACTCCACCTTTAAGCTCTTATTTTATTCTAACTGCTTATAGTAGAAGTATTTTTTGCAGTAGAATTTTAGTTGTGTCTCAAGAAATGTTTCTTGTTCAATCTTATTTTTCATGTAGGATATGAAAGAATGACCTTGTTTTGCAGCATATATTTCCATAACTGAGATTTCACTGGAGTTTTCATTTTTATGGATTTCTGTTTATTTTCATTATTTAGGATTATTTTTTTGTTTTGAATAAACAAGGTTTCAGGTCTTATTCACACTTTTGTTATCAATTTAAATGCAGTGTAAATCTTTGTATTTAACATTAGTATTATTTTTTTCACATAAATTATGTTGGTCAGAGGACTGAATCTATTCTTTCTGCTGTTCATAAAGGATGGTACTTTCTTTCATCTTACTCTACTGTCTTCTTGATGGTACATGCTATGTCATTAATTTGGCAGGAAACTTACAGGTGGGATTCTGAGTCTTGCATCTTTCTTTCTGGCAATGTGCTTCAGATTTATTACATCTTTTCTTTTATTTTTATCCTGCTAATATATATAGCCTCACCCAATTTAGTACATCATTTGGACTTTATTTGAATTTTCGGTTGCTGTGTCCATGACTTCTCTGAATAATTTTTTTTCCCATTTGTCACTTTGTCAACAGATTTAATGGTAAATAATTGAAATAATCAGAAATCAAAAAAGTGATTTCATCTTGCCAATTTCATCTCTCTTAAGCTGGGTTCATTCTCCATTTTGAGGTGCCTCCCTGTCTTAATTTCTAATAACAGGGACCTCCTTCAGACAGAGTGATGCCTACTTTAAGGTGAATAAAGTGAAACAAATTCCAACATTGGTGTTTTGTCTTGAGGAGAAGTAGTTGTGTCTTTTTTGAATGTTTGCTTTCATTAAATGTGAACCAAGTGGTATAGGGATTATAGAGAGAACATTCTTTGTGTGAGAATGCATTTTATTAAATTTCTAGGTTAAAAAAAGAATATAACATTTTTGAAAAAATGTGGATCAACATTTTGTTGCAAGAATGATCATTAACATCTTTACTGCCTTTCTTTCCAGCAGTACCTGAATCCTATGGTCAGAAAAGCTCCAAACAAAAGAATCAGCCTGACAACAATAGGAGATTTTGGACACAGACAGAAAACTATGGTAATGTTTTCACATTGTTTATAAACTGAAAATTGTAGGATTATTAAGAAATTAATAATTTTAATTAATCACATTAAGATGGAATTAAAAGAAGACTATTAAGAATATTAATTTTAAATCAGTTTTTTTAGAAAATGGTTTAATGCCTAATGGTTTAATGCTTTAATGGTGATTAAGCAGTATATTCTGAGGCACAGTGAACTGTCTAGCACAAAAACATAATATAGCCTTGTATATAGGGCTTTCACAGGCAGGGATAAAAGAGAAGCTATTGATATATTTGGGACAGTCTTTAGCCTAGGAACATTCCCTTTGTTAAAACCAAGGATGTCCGTAGCAGAATCTCCTCATTTGGATGATCACGTGAGCCTCATGGAAATGCTACAATATTGCAAATTATCTTTAAAGTTCTAGGGAGAGTCTTCCTCTAATACTAGCTCATGTTTCAGATGCAATGTCTGACTCATCTGATGCATTCATTGAAACTTCAGCCAATGTAATATTTAATTCACGTATCAGACTAAGGGAGTCTTTCCTGAAATTGTGGCTGAAATTAGGAAGCAATGTGTATGTTTTTCCTACAGGCAAATATACTTCAGGATCTTCTAATTCACCAGCTTGGAGGAAAAGAAATCCACAAGCAAAACAGTTCTCTAAATTTAAAATAACCACTCAGGTAACTGGTAGAAATGGTTACAATTTAGCCTTTTTAGGAGAGTTGACATGCCTATGCCCACCTAGAAAATGTAAAAGTGCTTGTAAAACTTCCTCATTCAAAACCTGCAAGACTCTGATCAGTGCTGAATAGCTGAAAGAGCAGTTTATAGTTTTGTTTTCTGTCATGTACCTTTGCCTGAATAAATAACCTGTGACTTCTAATTTTTTTATAACAATATTTATATGAAAGCAAAATGTTTACACTAAAATTAAGTTATACAAAAGGCAGGTTTTGGATTTTAGCACCAGGCAAACACAGTAGAGACCATATGAGTTTGATCTATCTCTCTGCTGGATTGTTCATGAAGCTTCAGCAATGGCTGAATAATAACCAGCTGAAATCTGAATCCATTAAAGGACTCAGACTACAAAATGTTTGAAAGATATCCTAAGAACCATTCATACATTTTACAGCTGCCTTGAAAGCTGAGAACTTCTATCTCATCTTTCATGTTGAAATTTTACTTCTTAAAATGTTTCTGAAGGAGCATGTAGTTTTACTCTAAGAAATTATGCACAGAATTTTGTGTATATCTGTTTTAACAGCAGAGTAAAGAAGACATGGAAGTGAATAAAAAAGGAGAAAAAGAAACATCTAAAGGGAAATAAGAAAATTATCAACTGGAATATCCAAAGATGAAGAGACTGCAAATTCCAAAAAGAAGGTGCAGGAAGGAAGCACACTATAGTGCTTCAAAACTGGTTAAAAATTCTTAAAAGTATGCTCTGCATGGTGACATATAAAGATCTATATTCACTAAGTTTAATCTACTATAAAAATTTGGCAGTTGAAGTTATTTTTACAGACTACAGCTCTACACCACAGACTAATAGTTCAAAGAGAAAAAAATTCCAAAGCAGAGTCTTCCCTTATATCTTTGATAGCTGTTTTAAAGCATAACTCCTAATATGAATAAATACTATTAGTTATACTTAGCAGTTTCAGAAGACTTTTAATGTAAGCAGCAATAATGTAATGCGTTCTAGAACGTGGTTTGCTGATACAAAAGTCAGATTCCTAGATGATTTAACTGTTTTTCCAGATGGTTGGGGACTCAGTCTGAATTTGATCTTATGATTTTCCAATTATAGTGCAGCAGCAGAACTGTGTTATGAACTAAATGAACTTCACAAGAAATCTCTCAGAATTAACTGAGATATGTATTTACATGCATTTCGAACTAAAATATGAAGAGTTGTATAAAGATTGAGAGGAAGACTGAAAAGAAGGATACTTTAATATTGTTTTCTGAAGAAGCAAACCTCATACTGAAGTGTTACATATACATTACTTCATATTTTTTCTCAGATGTTTTTTCAGTTTTTTTGCATTTACTTCACCTTTTGTCATTCTTAGAACATAATCAGTTTTTGAAGAGAGCCCTTCAAACTTCTTTTCCGTAACACTAGGATCCAGTAATGATCTTGGTGACACCTGTAACTGTGAGAATGAAAGCATTTTGCCACCTTGGAGCCTTTTCTTCTGTGACTGCTTATAACATGAGTCTGTGTCAGATACCTTCCAGGATACTTCTAGCTGTAATGATTCTATTGTTCTATGAGAAATATAGTCATATGTTTCTCTGCTCCACTTGATTATCTCAATAGTAGTGTAATTTTTATTTTATTTCAAAATTTAATTTTTAATAATTTAAGTTAGAGTATGCTGTACTGATTACAGACATATGCAGTTATGCATCACTTTTCTTAACTGAGAGGAGAGTAGAAAAACCTAGAGGATCTGGTTTAGCTAAGTAAAAATGTACAAAACAAGAAGCATCTTTTTAAAATCAAAGACTAGGTGTGTTGGAAATTTTCCCTCCACCTCTAATTCAACATTGATGTTTCAAATTGTAGCACATGGTGCCTTGCAGCAACATTTCACATGTTGTCTGCTTGAGGCAATTTAAAATCTCAATTCAGAGGGCTGTTGAATCAAGTTATTTTTTTAATATCTTGATAAAGGCTTTTAATTCCCTTTTTGCTTTTCACATAAAAGAAATATAAATTTTACATTTGCTATTTGTCCAATGTCTTCACAATTCAGAGTATTAAGTTTGATAAGACCATGAAAGGGCATGGGCAAATGTTATGCTGGTCTGATTTTAGCATTCTCTTAAAAAGGATTTCAATATTCAATTTGTGCAAGTGGTTAATATTGTTACTATATATGGATGTGTAAGTGCAGGCTGTGCTGTGCTGCATGTGCTGCCTGCTGCTTGTGCCACACAGGAACAAATCAGCACCTCCTGCTTGGTACATGCTTGGTGATGACACTCCCTGCTGGGCCTCACCTTTATTTAGCAGCAAGTTCTCAGGTGGACATCCTTTCTGTTTGACAGCAGAAGTGAGGAACAGAGCTGGCTTCTTTGGGAAAATCCTGTAAGAGTTCCAGTGACCAAAATGGGGTAATTTCACATGGGTGGAAACTGCAGGGTGTGCTGGGCTGTAGTCAGAGACCCATTCAGTTCGTGGCTCCCAGCCTCTGAAGGGTCTTATGGTTAACTCTACTATCTTCCTTTTCTTTTTGGTGTGGTCTCAAAAAATCAGGACCTTAAGAGGTCCTTTATAGAATCTGAGCACCTTTATAGAATCTGGCATCATAAAGAAAAAGGCACCTCCTGATACAATTTAACCCATCTCCCCACCCTGATAAAGCAACCCAACCAACCAAAGCCAAAAAACCCCATTTTCTAGTGTGTTAAGATGTAAATATCGCAGCAGATGGTTGAGCTAAGTGTCAGGCCCTTCTCAAGGGAAAGACAAGGAAATGCAAGAAGAAAAGGATGTGGCTATGAGGGTAGTACTGGGCTGATCCTTAGCTTTTTGTGGAACCACAGCTTCAGTACTCTTTTCACTGGAGCTTCCTGTAGAGAAATTACAAATACTGTTTTTTTAGTCATCACTTGCTCAACCCAGAAATTCACAGATACCAAAATATACCTCAGCACTGCACATTAAATATATGGCTCAACAAGATATTTACAGTTCCTGTGAGGTGTTAGCTGCTCTTGACAGAAACCAGAGGAACATTATAGGATCAAGTGCTTTGTGATCAAATCCTTAATTAAGATTTCCCTTTCACAGCTTTAAAGATACTAGAATTCTCTATAATAATGAAAATACCTGCTTGTTTTCCAGATCACAGACACTTTCCCTCTTATACGTTTTAATCTTGTGTGATTTTCTCTGTCATTGAAGCCCCAGGGAGGAGCCGAAGGAAACTGAGAATATTCAGCATTTCATGCAGCGAGGCCCTAAAGATTGATTGCATTTCTGTACTTTCACATAATCACTGCATGACAGACCCTCCCCCACACTGATTTACACTTATAGTAGTTGAAAATAAGCTCTGAGATAATGAGCCAAAGAGCAGAGGCAGAGGGCCACTGAAGCAGGGTTGAACTTGCCCTGGTATTAAGTATGCATGGCCATAATCTGCTGCTGAATTGGAAGGCCCAGGAGAAATAAGTGATTTGTTGCTTTCACCCTAGACATGTTAAAATATGCTAATGTTTTTCCAGATGGTACTTCTAAAAGCACATCAGACATCTAATCTAGGTGAATCATATTCCTTAGTAAATAGAATAACAGTGCTACCAGCTGTATTTTGACAAAACTTTGCAAAGCTTCCAGTGTGAGATCCTGCATTCCTTAACAAGCCTGGCTAAATTATTGCTATTAACTCCCAGTGTCTCAGCAGCACTGATATTGTAAATATTTTATTTATTAATTGAGGTAGGAAAGTCCGTCTCAAATTAGCACCTGAACAAGAAAAACATCTTGTTGTAAAATAGAAATGGAGTAAAATGTCCCTGGGAATTGTAGACTTTGTTTAAAAAGAAGGATTTTTGACAGTTTTCCCCTAATAAAGTTATTTTCTGATGAAAGCTCCCTTGTACAGCGATACATTATGTAAATATATAAATTTATTAAAACAACCCGAGTCTGTCCATCATTTAGCTGTGCCTGGGGCCAGCAGGGGGCGGTGCAGTCCCAGGAATGGGTTTAACACGCCCAGCAGGGCTCGCCGGAGCTGCAGCCTCTCCCTCCGCCGTGTGCTGCCGGGCTTTACATTCAGACAAAAGGCCACAGTCGTCTTCTTATGGCCAGCTCGGAGGAGGACTACAACACCCTACATTCAAAATTCCTAATTAGCATTGTTTTTTTTCCCCCTTTAAACAGTGTGGTGATATAATCTCATTCTACACGCTTTCCAAAAGGTGTTTTCTGTTATCTCCTGCTCTGAATAGTTCTCACCACAAGTGGCTTCTCAGGGAAACTGAGAAGTCTTTTCAAAGAGATGTCCCCAGACTGAGAGTCTCCTTTAATCTTTCTAGCCTGGAAACATATTAGATGTTTTTAATTACCTTTTCTTTTTATATTTAGGGTATTTTACAAGTGGAAATATTGATGGAAACATGCTACTGTGATACGTAAGATTTGAGGCACTTGAGAGCACAACAGTTATGCTTAAAATCCTACTCCCTCTTTCCTTTTTTTACTTCCTAAGGAAAAGGCTGTTAGGCAAGACTAGATATTAAATTGGCAGGGTCATTTGAGAAGGTAAAGAGACATCCTCCTTAGTTCATTTAAGAACATACATAAAATACACATTTGGGTTTTTTTGGTGCATTTTGCTTTCCCTGAGCAAAAGCAATGTCTTCAGATATTGGTGTCCTTGTTGTTGCTGTTCATCCATGATCATAGAATCATGAAGGTTCTAAAAGACCACCAAGATCACCGAGTCCAAGGTTTATTAATGAATTTCCACTCTAAGGATGGATTGTGCTTATGTCTTCACAACTCATTCTGCCCCCCAGGACAATCTTCAGGGCACCTTTTGAAGATTATTATAGTGCCTCACTGAATATGCACAAAGTACAACTACCCTAACAAGACCCACAGTAATCCTTATGACTTCCACACAATTACTAATATTCTTAGATTCAAGTGTATCTTGATTGATCACAGCAGAGTGGCTTCCAAGATTTTCATTGCAATATGCATTGCAGCCTGCCAAATTGATATTGCTCTTAGAGATAGATGGGGATGTGAAATGCTGCAAGACTTTAACTTTGGAAGAAAAATTTGCAAACTGGGAAAACAGAGTAGAGAACTGTAGAAGGTACAATAAATTATGGAAATGCAACAATCAATTGGGAGTTATATAAAACATGATTTGCATCAGCTCTTTCATGGGTCCAGTACCAATCAAAACCTTTGCTCGCTTTGGCATTGGGAGTACCTGATGATGAAGGGAAGACAGAAGTCTTATGTAGTTTGTGCTCGTAAGTACCAGACCATTAACATTCAGAAATTAAATATTTGTTCTGAGGGATGATTAGTTTTATTTCATTACGTTTACATCTGTAAGTCTTTCTCATAGGCCAAAGCACATGTCAGCAAGAATAGTGCCATTACCGATTGGATGAATGGAGTGCTGAACTACTCACTGAAACTGCCAGCTGTCAAGAGAAGTCTTGAGTCTGTTAAAAAGTAAAACTGAATCGTGTGCTGCTGTGTTTTTGTGTCCAATATGAGGAACTGAAAAATATGATAATTAAAATATTTTGTAAATTACTTAAAACTGGATCCTTGGGAGAGGG